AACGTGTCGTCACCACGCTGCCGCCAGTCTCCGCAACGCTCCGGAAATGCGATTTTTCGAGACGCAAGATGACCGACCGGTGGCCGCACTCGCGCTGCAGCGACCAAGCAGGGAATATGTGCTGCCATTTAGACACGCGACTGGGTTCGAGACTAAACGGCTTAAAAAACTACGCGCGCCAGGCCTCGCCCACCCGTTTGAAACCCAAACATCAGCTACATCCTGTTCGTCCGTTGAGCCGTTGTGGCCTAGGGAGAACTTGCTTTGTCCCCATCCTGGGTTATCTTTTTTTCCGAAATCGACACATAGAAACTATCTTCCCTCTCTGTTCGGCCAGAAGGATGAGGTAGAGATGTAAAGGGTACTAGAGAAATAGCAGTTTTCCTCGTTTCTCCCATAGAGGCCCATGCATCAGCTGGTGTCAAGCGATGGCCGTCGGTGGTACCGCTCGGCCCAAAGCAAGACAAGCCTCGATCCACGATCCACGCCACGCTTTCATTGTGGCCGGAAGAGCCTTTCGGCCTCTCAGACCAAAACTAAAAATTCATCATCCTCGCAAAAAAAAAAAAAAAAAGTATTGATTTCGAACTTTTTCTAGCTCCCAAATTAACCTCAAAAACCGCAAAAAAAAAAAAAAAAAAAATTGAGCGCTTTTTTATTTTGTGAAGATGGAAGCCCAGCGAAGCTCTGGTGGAATTTGCTATGTCGGGCTGGGATCAGTGGCGACGGCGGTTTCACGTTGGGGCGTGCCCCTTCTCGCTTCTGGATGCGCCGACGCTCCTCGTACTCTCGCTGCTCCTCTTCGGAACGTACAACGCGGTTGCGACCCATGTGAAGTCCAACTGAAAAGGACAGTGGTGCGATCTTCGGCAGGTGGCCGCCGAAGAGCGCGCGGCTTTGCACAGTGTCAGGGGGGAGGTAGACGCCGCGCGTGCGGCGTCGGCGTGTGCAGCATTAACTGTTCTAAAGCAAACGCCTAAAACAAATGGCATCCTGCACGCGCGGACGTCAAAACTTTATTTTGGTTGTTTACTTCGAATCTTTTATACGAGGAAGGCGCGTCCGCGGCGCCAGCATTTACAGCATTAACTACAAAATTGTTGGTCTACGCTCGGTCTGACCCCGCAGACGATCTGCCAGAGCCTAGCCATAAACAACTTCGCTGTAAAAAGTCCGGCTCCTCGCGGAGCATTACTAATTTACCTCTTACTGTGGATAATTAAGATATATGTAGGTTAATTTTAGATTAAATATATGATATATTATCAAGATGCACACATTCCAAACGCCAAAAGCATAGTTTTTTCCTCCGACAAGCAAATCTCGTAAGAATTACTTGGCGCAGCGTATGAGCAATGCGCAACACTTGCTTTTCTCTTGAGATGAAAACGGGTATAGATTTTATGTCTATTAATTTGTTGAAAAAACATTGAGGCAAATCAGTGGCTGTTAGAATTTTGCCTGAAGAATCATGATTGCTGACTTGGGCCTACTGAACTCTAGGAACAACCGGTGTCCCTTTGCTGTGTCTCGCACCACAAATGTTCATAAGTCTATGCAGATCCATGCAGTTGCAAGCCCAAACCATTACATACTAACATATAATCTGTATATGGTAATGATCGTTCAATGTTTGACCGTGCCTTGTGTGAAAGGGGATTGCCATGGCTATGCCATCTGTTGGTGTTGAGTTGCCCTCTTATGGGAAAATCTAGAAGCAGAAGCTCTTCGGTGTTCTTCATAGACCAACCAGGCCAACGATAGTGCTTGCAGCACAAACGTTTTCGTGTAGTCTTACGGAGACCATATTGAGAATGCATAATTTCTTTTGTGGAACAGTATTGAAACATAAAATGACAAACAACAATGCCTAGATACAATACTTATTAGGTGCTCATGTGTAAAAAATCCTTCCAGAACAAATAAAAAAAAATGTAGTAGACGACTCCAATGTAAGTTGTGCATAGTGGAAAAACTTTTTATTGAACATTATTGATTAGAATTCACAATCTCTCGCTTCAAGGTGGCAACAACTCCCTTACACGTTCGCACATGCCACACAAAATTCAAATGATCAAAAGCCAACAGCACAATCTTACGAACCACTCCGACTAGAGCTTTTACGAAAAAAACACCACAACACAAGGTTAGCAGAAATGCAAACCTATGCAATTGCATCTCGGATAAAAATGTTTGATCAACTGTAAAATTTATAAATCTTGTTAAACGCGTTTGACAGAGTTCGGCTATAAGCACAGTGCTCACCAAAAGTGTGAGGTAAAAGCAAGCAACCGAGCATATCAAATCGTTGTATAACAGGCTGGTTTAAACCAAAAGACCAAGCCCCTTCTTCCCCAAGTGAATCCAGGGGATAAGACTGAGTTGCTGCACTTAACGATGCAGCAACACTTTTAAAACTCGAAAGGCCTAGAAAACAGGAACCTATATATTTATGTATAAACAAAACAAAAAGCACATCTGGGGCTTACATAAATTTCAGTTTAATTCACTGGCATATACCCGCACAATGAAGTGAGGAGAATAGCAATAGCAATGGTCACTGACAGCAGAGAGGTCTGGAGTGACTGCTAAAATATTTAAATCATATCCCGATTCCACCCTCACTAGGCGTTTACTTCGTGCAGTTTGCACTCTTATGATGCAGCTCAGATATGTCAACATTTTTTATGTGTGTGTCTCGTACAAGCACACACTTATGACAACAGAAGCACAAATAGACACTATATTCTGAAATGTGCTCCCCAAAGCCACGTGAGAAACATTTGTGGACGCATCGGTCGGGGGTATAAAAGGCGCATTAAAAGTACACATTCTTTGACTCTGCCTGTACAGAACATAATAAACAATTGCGAGGTAAGCTGCAACATATGTGCAATCCTTTCAATGTTCTAGCTTTTTTTTTTACATTAATGCGCATAAACATTTCTCACACTTCACAACTCCCCATAACCTTTCTATTGCTTTCCAGAAATGGAGCAGCCTGCATCCTCCGCCCTCCTCCTCCACTTCTCCCCCTCCTTTCCTTCCCCCCCCCCTGAAAAACTTGTTCGGTCTCCCCATACTCTTACAGTCCCCAGGACAAGTGCATCAGAGCTTTCCAAGCAGTTCAACAATCAGCAAATACGAAAATGCAGGAAGGACTCTCTTCAATGCAGTGTCCAAGTTCTCGGCTGTTGCAGACTTCTTAAATTAAGGACACCGAACACCAAACAGCTCATTTAGGGACGTCAACAAACCAGACGGAGATAACACACATCAGAAATTTCAATGCTGTGACATACGACCGTGCCGGCAATTACAAAAACAATTCCGGGTGCAAAAGAAAAAAAGAAGACGGAGTCCAACAAGGAGTGATGGAGATGACGTGGCGCCCCCAAAAAAAAGAGAGGAAAAAAAAAGGGTAGTTTAAAGTGGTACGGGAGTAGAGCTTCACAGACGAGCAGACAAGGCAATTCAGAAAGAAACTAACTGCAAGTTTGGTCCCCCGCCTCAATCGTCGCCCCTCCGGAAGGTTAGTTCATCGAACGACATCGCAGCAAGGTCGGGCGTCCATCGTCCGCTTGAATGGCTGTCGAGACTCAAGTGGAGCAGGCTTCGCAGCAGCCTCCTGACGTGAGACGGTGTTCCCGCAGGCGACGGGGACGCAGCAGACGAAGACACGGACGCCGAACGAGACGGCACGGGGTGGGAAGGTGTTTGACCGTGCGTGGCACTTGCTCTAGAGCACGAGGGTACTCCTGCTTCCGAAGACGTGCCGGAGCTGCTGCTGGGCCCTGCTGCCGCAACGTCTTCTCGCTGAGAGGGCAGCGAGCCCCTCCTCGGATGTCATTCGAGCAGGCACAGCGAGTCCTGAAGAAGCCCTTGGACAACCGCCTCCTGTTCCAGCTCCAGCAGTTGCCTGGAAGTTTCGTGCAACAGGCGAAAGCTGTACTCCACACGAGTATGTTCGCCGGTAAACATACGACAGAACATATTTCTTACATGCAGAATGGGTATGAGTAAACTCGTTTCCCTTTTTTTATGGAACAACGCACGCAAGTTTTGTTAAAGAAAAAGTAACATGTGCAACAAATTTCTTCCCAGTCGAGCTAAGACAACTGCTTTTGTAACTAATCAAAATGTAAGATACCTTCCCAAGTACTCAAATAGCCCACTTTTGCCAATACATAAACTATTTTTGCTAAAGCCCCTCTTGCACATGAGGTTTGTAATTTGTAGTAATAGTAGCATACCTTCGCAGTCTTATGGCCTTGGAACGCAATTCTTTGTCCCGGTCTCGAATTTCTGAGATGGTCACCCAAGCTTCCTGCTGAGGTCTTTGATTGTAAACCCATCGAAGGAATACTCCTGGCCACAGCACCTGGGCAGAGAATAGCGAGGAGTCGCTCACGGAGGATAATGTTCACAAGGGCTTTTTGCCGAAGTCTGTACGAAGTGTGTGTTACGAGAAAAAAACAATTTTTATCAAACTTACCAGGCTCTGTGGAGCCACAGAGGGCCAAATCACACTGTTGTTTGGGTCATACATGGGATTCAAAAGGGTCGGCAATACTTCTGGCCGGTTTACATATGACCTGAAATGAGCACCAGTTGTACACCTCTCAGTATAATAGACAGATCCGGTTCTATCACAAGTGCAAGGCCTGTATCGTTTTATTTGCAGCCTAATATCACCTTCCAGTATTATCATAAATGCAACAATATGTAATGCTTGACAAAGAAAGATAAATATTTGCCTAGCTTCTAAACAATGCTCTGCAGAATGCTGGAACTTAACCTGAAGGTAATACTTGCACTGTTAAAAGCATGCAGAAATTCGAGAACATTGGCTGAATTGATGATATGGAGTAACTTCCACATATTGGCTTCTTACTTCTGGCTAAATAGAAAGTAAAAAATGGTAGGAGGTAGCATACTCATCTCCTAATACTCCTTTCCCCGTGAGTTGTGACCTGTAGACTTTAGTCTCAAAGGTCACAAGTCTTGTACATTTTTTGCACACACATAAGGGACATTTATTCATATTTAGAAGTTTTTTTTTTTTTTTAATTTTATTTTATATATTTTTATTTTGCTTTACTGAAGACTGTATTCATGGCATTATATGAAAGTACTCTATTTTACCACAGATGGTACACCCCCTTTGAGAACGAAGCCTGCACAACAATACAGTACCTGCTTTTCCATGGGACATGCAGGGCGCCATTCCCTGTTACTATGCGGAGGGCAAGTTCGTCTGCTTCTTGCGCACGAAATGATCTTACGCCAAAAATGTGCGTAAAACAAAACTTAAGAACAAATTCGTATTCAAGAAACAAAATTTTCGTATGTTTTGCGCAGGTTACGACGAAATCCTACGACAGCTCCGAAGCTGTCTTACGCACTTCTTACGATCAAATCAGCATGGCCGACAGCGTCGCGGTCGCGACGACCCACGGACGTTTGTTTTTCTACGTGCGCTTCACACACGTCCCGACTTCAAGCAGCAAGAAAAAAGTAAAGAAGTACTTGAAGCAGACCACGACGAACAAGAACGCTGGATTCACAAACACCCGAGAAAAGCTCCAACGGCCACGATTCCACCGAACGCGACCAAGCGAGCTTCGGCAGTTAGGCCTAGCAGGCATTCCGCGACTCGGCGAACGTCTCCCCACGACCGGCTGGCGTGCTGAATGGAATATGCCCGCGCGACCCTTGTGAACCCTACTTTGATCGCTGATCTCAATTTTAGATTAAGAGGTCAATTTCTTCCTCTTGTTATCTCCTTGTTTCCCGAGGCAACGGTGACTTCCGCCGGTGAAAAAGCGGTGAATCTCCGACAGACGCAGCCGTCGCTTTGACTAGCAGACGTAAAGCAGACGACGTTAACTGCGCCAACCCGCCGACGCCGTTAAAGAATGAGGGGTCTCGCCGCACACGAAAGGAGGGAAAAAGTATTTGGGAGGGAACTTGCGGACACTAACACGCTCACCCTCTCGATTCTTAGCAAACAAACCTCGGCGCCTCAGGACACCTCGCCAGTGACTCCTTTGACTTCCCTCCTTGATGCGCGTCTGCTAATTGTTAGACAAAAACAGCGTACCGCTCGAGTTATTTCGTCTGCCCTCTCTGAAAGACGAAGTCGAGCTCGCTCGTAAAGACCTGCACTTCCGAAAGTCGCAGGAAAGGTAAGCAAACGAAGACGATGTTGCGAGCAGACGACGTTGCAAAGGAGCAGACGACGCTGAGATAGGGGGTCGCGATCAGCCAATCAGGGCTCGGCGTTCTGACGTCACCGCTACTTCCTTTCTCATGCACAGAAGACGAAAATGAGCCCACTTGCGAGGTGTATTAATGCAAGGAACCAAGAAAATCACAAGGCACCAATGCCATTTGGGTATAAAAAGCAGCCTGCATGTTGAACACGACGTTTGCATGCTCAGAGTTACAGCACCAATCATACTTTTTTGAGTCTAAATATGATCAGTGCCTCGTCCTTGGCTGTTCTCCTTCCATAAACAAATTGGTTGTCTTCTGCATGCTCTGCAGGAAAGCCAGCAAATGCGGGCTTCGTTCATAAGCTTATATGTACTTCCATTTGGGAACACCATGGTAAGTATTCAACTTACCAGAGGGAAACAGTCTTCGTTGGAAGTCTCAGCTCTTTTTTATCCCGCTCAGAGTTGGAGAGAAATGTCCCTGAAAGGCGAATACAAAAGCAGGTTACACGACCTCAAGGGACATCTCAAAGGGGTACGGAAACGAAATTCCAGCGCTCATTTTTTAGCTTTTATATGTTGCATGTTGCAGCACAACCTCAAAAATACCAGTCTTTCGTTGAAAGGTACAAGAAAACTAATTTTAAAGCTAATTAAATGATCTTTCAATGTGCACCTGGTGGACGCATGTTGAGCCTATTTGGGAGATAATCTAGCAACGTTGGGGAACTTGCTACGTAGTCATGACGTAGCAAGTTCCATTCGCTCTTTGGAATTCAACATTTTCATTCATAGCTTTCCTCCTCAGCTCACAAATCGCGCATTGTAATAAGCAGTTCAAGAAGACGGAAAGGAGGGACTCCCCCTTTGCTCGGAACCTCGTTTGTGCACCCGAACACAGCCATTCTCCCCCTAGAAGATTAGCCCGTCGCTCAAAATTTGAACAAAAGTTGCTTTTCCCACCTTGTTCACCCCTAAGCTGACAGTGCTGTCGAAGCTACGTGCTCCTTGGACCAGTCACACGCTCGTCATCCCACGGGTACTTCGAATGGCTCGGTTGTAACGCATTGACGCCATTGACACCACCACAACGCTGACAACGCCACCGAAGGCAAAGCTTATAACCACGCCAGCCTTGCTACGTCACGAATGCGGGGAATCTTTTTTTTTCTGTTTTTGTTTGCGCCGGATATCCCATGACGCATCGCGCTCTCCATTTGCTTCTCTTCGAGCGCTTGCTCGAGTGCACCGTTTAGAACGAAAAATATAGCCAGTCGTTCAAAATACAAACGTGCGATTATCATTTACGGTTATTATCCGTCATGCTTGACTCATTTCCGAGCGAAATTTGAATAGTTCAATTTTCGTTTTCGTACCCCTTTAACATTAGCAAGTCGCATGCTTCCCTCAAGTCAGGAGATCTAGCATCAGTAGGGCTGCAACACTCACCAAATGAAGAGCAGTAGCTGTGCTCAAACAGCATGATCAGGAAGTTCTCACTAAACTCAAAGGAACATGCGAACTGCTGATGGATCTGTAATGCAAAAATGACAAAATGCCCACTATCGCATTTACTCGAGCGATAGACGCACGTTCGCGAACAAAGCCTGCGCATCCCCTTTCACAACTTTTGCAACAGAGAAATTCTTTTTACAGCTTCAGCAACACGAGAAATGCTACAACTTCGGTAGCACGAGCAACGTTACCACTTTGGCAACACAAAAAACGTCGCAACTTCAGGCACAAAAAAAAAAAAAAAATAAATCAAAGAGAGAAAGTACAACGCTCCAACCCGAAATGTACAGTCAAGGAACACAAGAAACGCTACAACCTCGATAAGAACGTTAGAACTCCAGAAACATAAAAAAATAAGAGCGGAAATTTAAATTTCTTGCGTAACGTACATTGCAGCGAGCGCAGCTAGGTGCTCGCGTAATTTGTTATCATTGCGATGGCGTCGCCGTCTCTGCGCAACCTCCTGAGCACGACTCCGAGGATTTTCACGCCATTTTCGCTTCCGCTCTCAATTCCACTTCCATGCCCGATCCGTACCTCGTCTACAACGAGCTTTCTCGGCGTGACATAACTCAGGGTTGTGTTTTCCGGACCTTGTACAAAAATTTTCAGATGTCTAGCGGTACGGCGCGCAAGATAAAATGGTTGTGTGCAAATGCCCTCATAACGGGGTGTTGGCTACAGCCAGGGTCAAAGTGAGAAGGAAAGGGCGTTTCTTTCCAATGCCTGGCCTAGCACATGCTCGTTGATTTTCCGACGCACGCTCGGGGCATCGGGAGTTGCCGCGAAGCACGATGACGCTATTTCCCACTAACCACCGTCGCTGTAAAAAAGGAAACCAAAGCCAGAGAAAGCATGAGGCTCAACCTGAAACACGCAGTCGAGGAACATGAAGAATGTGGGGCTCTGGTCCTTGGTGTGCGTGCCGGCCGGCGCGAAGGCACCATGCTGGCAGCGCAGGAGGAATGGGTGTCCCGCCTGGAGCCACTCCCGCTCCACTAGTGCCTCGAAACCCCGCACCGTTCGGCAGTCCGGGTCCAGGATGACTTGCGCAATCGAGCAGGCCAGCAGGGTGCCGTCCATGCCCTCCGTGCCGTGCACCACCACAGACGTTTCTGTTTGCCGGACGATCGGGGTTTGTTCTCGTCAGACGGAGGCAGGGCACGAAAACGGGAGCGGAGATAATGTGGAAAACTAGACGTCTGCTTCTTGTGCAGGGGTCGTAGTGACGTCATAACAACGCCGGGGTAGACCTTAATGCTAGATGCCTTGAGGTCTACCCACCATTTTTTTTTTTTTCGGTCAGAAAATAGGAGCCCGGCGTTCCGACATCGTTGCAACCCCCGTACAAGAAGCAAACAAACTTGTGCTCCGCATACCCGCAAGATAAGAAGCCCCGTAGTGCCGAATTTTTAGTGTTGCCAAAGGACTCAAACGTGGGGCATGGATCGGATGAGAGTGCCACATCACCGTCTGGCGAAAAACTGCCTTCGATTGGCGAGAACGCGAGGCTCAGCCGAATACCACTCTGCTTCCAACCCACGCCCCGCAGACGTCCCGGAGGACCGCGGCGTAAAGCCGCAATCGCATCGTCAACACGGAATGCAAAACACGGCTAGCAGACACTGTCTAAGAAATGCATCTCTTTCTTGCTTGACGGTTCCGGCACGTTGGTCACACAAAAACTGTCTGCAGACATGTTTGATGCAAACAAATGCCTGAAGTAGACGTGCTTCGAACATGCCCAAGGAGTGTCCGCAGCCGATTCTTTCATCATGCCTGCAGCGAACACCGTGTCTTCCACATGATGTGTGAGCAGCGTGACGGCGGCTTAACGGGGTCCTGCAACGACTTTTTGACCGTTTTTTAATTTGCACCGAACCTGAGCACACTCAACATAGTAACTTTGTAAATTGTTTCTTGAATTTCACTTTATTTTAAAAGTTATTGGCAAACTAAAATGACAAAAACAAGCAAAAAATAACCTCCTTCAGGACGTCCCTGAACTAGAGGAGAGGTAGTGAGCTCAACGAGCGCTCACGGAGGCCGCACTCCGTGTCGACGGCTCGAGAGGGCGCCACTAAAGTATAGGGTGGATATAGCGGTCGGCCGGGGCGGCTCGCATTGCATTTGCTGCGCGACTAAACACTCTTTGTTGAAGCTTTATGGCTCGAAATGCTCGCCGTTTTAGGTCCGAACCTCCGAACCTCACAAAAGAAAAACGCGACACCAGAGTCGCAATTTCTCTGGCTGTGTTCGTTTTGCACGTGGTACGAAGCACGAATGCTCGGCGCGCGCAAGGCAAACGCCGCCAGACCAATTTCCTGGGCAGCAGAGCCGTATATTGGGAGAGTTCGGCCAGTGGGTGTGGCGACGAAGGCGCCGGTGAGGAGAAAAGTAAATGAAAGGGAGGAGAGCGCCGAAGGAGCGAGAGAGAAAGAAGGGAGCAGAGCGGAAACGACCACCATCTTTTAGCAACGCTGTCGGAGACTGGTCGGAGAAGAGCACTGCTCTGGGGCTACGCCTCGTCTGCTACGGGCCGACTTCTTTTTCGCCTGAATAAAAGTTTGTGGCCATACGCCGAAAAATCTTCATTTATTAGCTTTTTAACCCACCGAGGAATAAAAGACTCATTTTCTTGCCAGAGCCAGCGATATAAAAGGCAATATCAAGATTTAGATGCCGTTCCCACGCATTCCGCCCGGAGAATGATCGAAGATGGCGGCCCTCCCCACTCAGGTGGGAGCAGCCGGGAGTTCACGCGCATGCGCTCATGCCTCTCGCTCTACGCCGCGTGCTGATTGGCTCACTCGGGAGGAGAGCGTTACGGCGGCAAGATCATAGACTGACCAAACTCTCCCCATATACGGCTCTGCTGGGCGGCATCTCGATGCCCGAGTGTCTTTGCACTTAGCATGAGTATTGTAACGCAGGTGGGCCTACCAGGAGTCTTGTCACTAGAAACAGGGTGAAGTTGCCGCAGCTAACAATGCGTCTTCCTTCAGCCATGGGGCCACAAAGATGCACAGTGTATACAACACCAGGCATGCTGTCTCGTGAAAAAATCCCGCTGAGGCTCGGAACTCGGTGACAGCTCCAGTACTCGGAGGAAACACACAGTGTGGACTATTCTTCGGGCAGACAGGTTTCATCAAACGCCCCAGTAATGGCTGCAGCCGGTGTGGTGCTGCTGCAGGCAGTTAAAGAGGCAGTGCTTGGCCTTCTTTTAGCATCAACCGAGGAAGCATCAGCATTCCTTTGCTTCCTCGATTGAAGGGCCTTGGCTGCGACGCTTTCTTTGACAGGTAGCTCGGAGCATTCGGAAGCAGCGTCAGCGCCCGGAAAGAGCTCTGGCTTTTCACGGGGACTGCGCACCTCTTCTCCGTTTATAATGTGAACGAAGTCTAGCATTATAAATGACGACTCAAAATGAACCTCACACGTCAAACATATTTCGTCCAGGAGCTTATCCTAGCGATGAAAGTTCTGTCCCCAAACTTTTTTTGTGTTCTTCCTCCTAAGGTACTGAGAACAGCGACGGCTGCTGACCTTTCCGCCAGTGATAGCCTGACTGACACCCCATTTGTCAATTCGGCATCTAATTCAGCATGACACTTCATTGGCCATAAATGACAGCGAACCCGGGGTAAAAGATCAGTCCAGGACGGAAGTCACTTTGCGCTGCCAAACCACCAAATGGCCAAACCGCAAGCCAAAACTGCTCACCGAAGGCCTTCAGAACGCTCGGAACCGGTCGGACCCTCCAGCCCATACGACTGCAGCGCCGCCGCGTACATCCGGGACTTTTCCACGCTTGCCGCTTCAGAGAAATGCGTGGTGCGCGTCGGTGCCTGATCTCACTACCATAGAATACCGCGCATCCGCCCATTCCACGTAAAGCGCCCATTCCCAAATTTGTAAGATTTGAGAAAATATGCTGAGTACATTGATAAGTAAAATTAATGACCGGAGAAGTGCCCCTCCCCCATTTTTTCGCGAATATCTCAAAATTTTGAGTGGGTGCTGGCCCGGTATTTTACGGTACCTCTTTTTAGTTTGCGCCGCCTTTTCCACCGCTTCGTGGCAAGTATGTCAACGGGTCATGTGTTGTTTCCACACTTTCTAAACTGCATTTGTTTCTTTTCTCATTTAAAATAATTAGCAAAAGCTACTTTCATAACTAATTGAAATGGTTTGCACCACCGACTAAAAACAAAAGCTTTTAGTGGCTCTGACCAGTCGTAAGGCAAAAGCTGACCAGGACCAACAATGTCACGATTTCGTCACATGTCGTGCGCGTTCGTCATTATGGGGCACCCCTGTAGGAGGAGGAGGTTTCCGCGTCATCCAGTTAAAATATGACACCCTGATATTTACTTACTCCCTCCATGCCCGTTGGGTTGCCCGAACCACAAGAAAAAGGTAGACGCTTATATAGGCTTGCAGGGCCCCTTTAAGCAGACAAGCGCTCCCCTAACATACGCAACGTAAGCAAACTGTACAGTGTGAACGAGCCTTAAGAGATTGTGGTCCCCACCGTCTTGATCGAGGCACTGTGCGACGAAGCAGGCACAGGTGAGGACGTCCTTGATGTGGCCGAGCCATCCTGAAGACTCCAGCCGAGACAGCCACTTGTCCATGCTCACTCCAGTGTCGCTTACGGCTGCGTCAGTCGAGCACGAGAACATGTTCGTTTCGCAACTTGTTTGCACAGAAGAAAATAAATGTGTGTGTTTCTCCCGTCAAAGTATGTGTCAATGTTTACCCAAGTGGTTTCTGCTGATATGTGCTTGCAACTTTGTGCTAAGTGACAAGGAATGTCTTCGGCTAGTTTTTTCGTGTGGTTTTGAGTAAAGTTCTGCAAGTGAAATCGAGAAAGTAAATCTATAGACCTTCGAACGATGGTACATATTATGAATTGAGTGCAGAATGTGACGGCAACCCTGGCCGTTTCAATATGCAACGTCGTGCGCACGGCATGTAAATTGTGAAACTGAGTGCTAGTCTCACACCCATAATGCGAGTTTCAAGCGTTTAGGTACTATGAACAATCATAAGACAGCGTCCAAAATGTTCTTCCTCTCGGATGTGCTTCCCGCCAAGGCCACAAACTGCAGAAAATACTGGCCCTACAACTGAAACACAAACTTTGCAACATCCTGAAATCACGCCTTCGGTCATACAAGAAGTTAATGAAAATAAGGAATCGTATGAAAAAAGAGCGTTCGCCACAAACAAGCAAACCAAATTAACATAAGCACAATGCTATGGGTGCATCATATAGCATGTCCACACCAAGACGTCAAGACCGGCAAGGGTCTAAACTGCATACTAATAATAAATTTAAAAAAAAAATATGAGAAAAAAGTTAAGGGTAGACACATAAACAAAGAAAAAGAGCAGCTCATTTTTATCAGATGCTAAACCAACATGCATGCAGAAAAACAAAAAATGAAGGGAGACAGGGTAACCTCCAAACCAAACCGAAGCAACCAAACAAGTAGGAAATGAAAGCTTGGCCGGGCAAACTGCAAAGCTTCGGCACATGAAACCCAAACTTGCCTCTCCATCTTGACATAAATGGCAAACTGCTCATTATCCCAACTGCTCCATTTGGGCTAGTGCTCATCCCATCGCTCAGTGGATAGATTTCTTACGATGCAAATATATAAGGAAGAGGAGAAAACCACTCGTGAGTATGCGACACCACTTATCCACTCCACCTCCAAAGCTGATCAAGCTTTCACCAGCTCCCAAGTTTTCAGGGAGACGAATTTCCGGGCTCGGGACGGCTGGAGTCAAATCTCGGTACAGGTCCCCAGTAAGAAAAAGCCCAGACTCATGCCACTGCATGCTCATTCGCCTTTCATCGCCCTCGTCTATGGATTGAAATACTCGTATAAAATCCACCGTGGCTACGCCGTTTGAGGCAAGACTGAGCAAATCTCTGAGAGATTGGTGCTTTGGATCCCCACTTTTTCAAGCTAGAAATATGAATTTGACAGCATCTACAGCATGAAAGACTTCAAACCAGTTCCATATAGCAGAGCAAGTTTGACTCTCTAGGAAGCTGAAGTGCACAATATACTAAGCAGGAAAATAAACCAGTCCCTCTATATATACACAATTAGACAAAGCTCCAAAGCAGTAAGTAGTATGAAAAACGTGACTGCAAACATGTTTAGTGTGCAGTCTATACGAAGTAGCAGTTCCGTCATCGTCCAGCTATATCGCATGACTCATTGCAGGTAATACCGACTGCAAACACAGTAACTGACTTGCTGCTAATGCGGTATTTTTGAAAACACTACAACTTTCTGAGATGGCAAAATGGTGAACATGGTGGCCAAATATGTGGGAACTCTCTAAAAAGTGAATTTCTTAAAAAAAAGGAAGGAAACCTAGAAATAATGGTTATACTCAGTTTTAATGGGAGGCCCCTCTACCTTCCATGCTTTTACAAAACAATGTTGAATCATAAAGACTAATTCAAGCAAAAAGAAAAAGAATAAAGGGGGAACAGCTAGAGTACTACAATAAAATCAGAACGACAATACATAACTTGGAACGAGTACAAAATTCCGAAATGCACAGAAAAGAGGGAAAAAAGTGGACACAGCACGGCTCAGAAACCAACCGAATTAAACAGCTACGCCGTCAATAAATGAATGCAGAGACTGAAAAAGCGTCGCAGTATTTGTGTGCAGTAACAACACACAAAACAAGATGAGCACACTCAATATCAACGAGAAGAAAAGAAAAAAAAATGTTTCAGCTACGGCACAAGATGAGGACAAACGCAAATCAAGCTTACCTTCAACAAGCTTGGACAATGAGTCTAGCAGCACATGGTAACGTTCAATAGGCTTGTGCAGACGCCTCCACATTGGATAGTGCATCTCGGGCTCAAAGCCGCCTCCTTTGGAACGTGGAGAAATGGACACACCTTATCAATGTCTGCCAAAAACAAGGGTATGAAGGCTATTTCGTAAAGTTGATCCAACAGGCAATTAGCCAACAATCCCTCGTGTGATTGGCCATGTGGGGACTTGCTTATTACACACCTGGCTTTGATAATTAAACTTGGGGGCAATGTCTTGTCTGTAAACTAGAGCTAATGTCTGATGAACGCCAACTGTCAGAATTTCAACAAATGTTGGTGCTCAGTCCAAATTTCAATCAGTTTCTGGATTCCCGACTGCGAAATCGAGAGGCCAAAAAATGACCACATCTCCACGTGGTGAATGATGTTGATTGGGGCGAAGCTCTGGTGGTGCTGATACGCTGAGCCGCAGCATGCCGAGCTTTTTGTTCATTTTCATCCATGTCAGAAAGAGAATGTGTGGTATGGAATCTGGTTATATATGCATTTGAGCATTTGACTGCAGTGCCCTCTCGTCTATAAACGTTGAGCCAATGCATGCAAAGTTTAACGCAATTATATACGCATTTGACTGCAGCGCCCTCTCCTGTATAGACGTTGAGCGGCTACATGCAACGCTTCATCCATGACATCCCCGGCTCTTGAGTTACTACCACATCTCAGAGCCCCCTACTCATCCCGCAGTCGTGGCCGAATGGTTAAGGCGATGGTCTAAAAATTCATCGGGGTCTCCCCGCACAGGTTTGAATCCTGTTGACTGCGCAAACATTTTTTTCTTTTTTTAAGAAGACAGATGGGATGCAATCGATGTGAGCACGGACGCCGGACAAGGCTAGACCCTAAGGAGCTTCGCCCCTAAAAAAACAGTTCCAGTTCACACCCATACCACAAGAACTGCAAGACTTAGCTGAACCCCTGACTGCCAGAAACAAGCCTGGCTTACCTATTGAATAGCTTTGTTTCAATGCTTCAAAAAGCTGCGAGCATGCAATGTCAAATTATTTTCAGAGACTCCCATACATATGCGGTCGGACCCATTTTAGTAGTTTATGTACACTAAATGTATGTACACAACACAATACTAATAGTGTGAATGCGACATTGGCATGTCTTCATATTTTACTTAGAAAAGATATCAGTGGACATAAAAATTTACCGCTTAGGTGACTATTTTCCACCACAATAGTAATTTTGATGATGGCCTTTCAATTCTAAGTGAACAAGTAAACAAACCGGTGATCGCATATTTGTGCGAACAGTGTCGTGCTATGTACAGTTATATAAAAAGCTAATTCCACCTCTTACAGAGTATCATGTGCTACCTTTGTGCCTATTTCGTCTGTTACGAGGCTAAATGGTCAATAGGCAGTAGACATATGCTATTTCTTATAAAAGGTTATTCACAAACTATGGCTTTCCTAAATTTAGATATAACTTCTTCAAAGTGGAGCTGTTAACTTATTGCCCAGCTGTAGCTAGATTGTTCTTATGACCTACAACTGGATAAAAAGACAGGCTCTTATGAGTATACAATGAAATAATAATGGCCTTAGTCACTGAGGGATCCTTTGTGAAGATGGAAACACTTAAGGTCTGGAAGACACTCCCTCAGTCCATTAGAGTCTCTAACAAACTCTAAAGACACATGTATAATCCAACGAAACATGCACGACCACACGTGTGGCATGGCAATATTATTTTGGTGAAGAGGGGGCACTCTATAGTCTGGCGCAGCTGATGTGACCAGTGGTTGTTGGCATACTCTTAACATGCTGACGCTGAGATAAAACGTGTTCTATTTCATTCCAAACAGGTAGGGCTGCAAGACCAGGATGCATCATGCCTGCTCTCCGGACTGGCACCAAGGCAGCATGGGCAAAGCCTAATGAAGTTGATGTCAGTCGGCATGCTTGTCGCAGAACATTCTGTGCATGCTAAAAAATTGGGTGTGTGTATGTTTAAGCAGCCTAGAACTTAGTCTGCCTCAATGGGCAACTTGTCTTCCAGCTGTAGATGAGAAATGTAGCCAGTGCAGTACAACTGCTAGCCTGGGGTCTTTTAGCAGGGGTGGGGATTGAATCCAGGATCCCTGAGTTCTGCAGCGCAAGCTTTCGCTCCACGTGCTCCGAGCTGGTGTGCGCTAGTCCACTCGGCCACTGATTCCCCCCTCTGCACATGCTTTTCGAACAGTGCATGACTACCACCGCATCAAACAAGGTTGAACAGAGAGGGGTCAAATTACTGACCGGTGTGGCATTGCCAACCGAACACAGCGTGCCGACGTGCCAAAAGCATTGGACTATAAAGAGCATTAATAACAGACTGAGGAAGGGTCCAAAAAGCCTAAAACGTTTCCGTATTAAAAAAAAAATAAAAAAAAGACCTCTCAACAACAAAGGCCTTTGTTGTTGAATTAGATTATTGCCACATAAATTACCTTCCAGAAACACCAGCTAGCACCAACAAGTTTCACTGCCTGCTGCACAAGGCACAGGAAAGCTGGGCTTTTCTTTATAACACTTTCTCACCGACAACTAGCAACTCAAAGGTCAATGACCCTCTTGTTGGACGTTTCTAGACAAAACCCTTTGCCCGACCACATCATCATATTAGCCACATTGTTGCTTCAGCTTATCGAGCGATGGGAATGGTATCATACGTGACGCATAACTTTTCCAATTATTTATGTGCCGTCCGCTTATTTTGCTCCTTGGTGCGAGTCAGACTTGAGTTTTGCAGTATTGCATGAAATTCGCTGACTGCAGCTGATGCAGAGCGAATCGAAAGGGTTAAAAAACAATTTGTTTAAATTGTTTATGATAGGTATCTTGGGAGGAGGTGTTATTACGACTATGGATACATTCTTAAAGAACTTTCTTTGCGCAACTTGTTAAAAGACAGACTGCTCGTGATGTTTTATTTTTACATACGGTTGTTCACGGCCATGTAGAAAGTGAACTGGCGTCATCGCTAGGATTTCATGTGGCAGCTCACGCTATTAGAGGAACGAGTGTATTTTATCCCTCTGCGGGTTCGAAATTGTCACCATTGGTGCGGATGCAAATCTGTGGTAGTGAATCTGTGGCCTTACGATGATGTTTTTTAAGATATTTTTGTCTTTAAACGAGAGCTTGATTTATATCTTTTCAGCTATTGACCCACGCCGTAATTTGTAACAGTGGCAGACATCGTTATGAATTTTTCTTTTTGTATTATATTTTATGTGCCACCACACTATAACCTATTGGTTGTTTTGAGGCACAGATCAAATAAAGCATTATTATTATTATTTTAGTCACTGCCAACAAAGTCAACACTTTTGGAACCTGAGCAGTGTTAATAACACTGAAGTGATCATGTGTTCCTAGTTTATTTTTTGTACGCATAACTTTTCTTAAAGGGGCCCTGCAATCATATTTAAGCGTCTACCTTTTTTGCGGTTTCCACGTCTCTTGGGGCTCGGGCAAGCCAGCGGGCACGGAGAGAGTAACTAATTATCAATGCGTCATATTTTAACCGGACGACGCGGAAACCTCCTCCACCGACGAGGGCGACCCGCGGTACCGAAAGCGCGCAAAATGTGACGTATTTGGTCCTGGGCTTACTACTGGTCAGAGCCGCTAAAAGCTTCTTTTTGGTCGAAATACAAAATATAAGTGGCGCAAACCGTTTCAATTATGGATAAAAGTAGTTTTTGTTCAGTATTTTAGATCAGAAAAGAAACAAATGAAGTTTATAAAGTATGGAAACAAGAAATGACCCGTCGACATACCCGCCACCAAGCGGTGGAAAAGGCGGCGCATACTAGAAAGGAGTAGTGGGATCAGGCGCCGACACGGAAAGGTCCCGGATGTACGCGGCGGCGGCGCTGCGGTCGTATGCACAGGAGGATCCGACCAGCTCAGAACGTTCTGAAGGCCTTTGGCGAGAAGCTTTGTCTTGCGGTTTGGCCGTTTCGCGGTATGGCAGCGCGAAGTGGCTCCCATTCTGAACTGATCTTTACCCCGTGTTTGCTGTCGTTTGTGGCCAATGAAGTGTCATGCCGAATAAGTGTTTAATCGCGCAGCAAATGCAATTAAAGCCGCTTTGGCTGCCCACTGCATACAGCCTATCCAGAACATGCTTTAGTGGCGCCTTCTCGTGCCGTCGACACGGAGCGCGGCAGCCGTGAGCGCTCACGTAGCTCACTACCCCTCCTCTAGTTCACGGCCACTCAAGCAACCAAGGACGTCATAAGGGAGGTTATTTTTTGCTTGTTTTTGTAATTCTAATTTGCCTATAACTTTTAAAATAAAGCGAATTTCGAGAAAAGAAAAGTTTCACTAAGTTACTAAGTTCAGTGCGCTCAGGTTCGGTGCAAATTAAAAACCAGTAAAAACGTCCTTGCAGGGCCCCTTTAATTTCAAAGTATGGCTATGTTGTTCCTGAATGTACTTGTGACTTTTGTTGTTCTTGAGTGTATTTGTTATTGTATTTCACTATCGCAATTTTCAGTACTCTATCCCTCGTGTAATTGTTACCCAAATAGGGTAATAATGAAGGCAATATTGAATTAATAAGAAAAGGCCCCAAGCTTCACTGAAGGCTTGTGTAGCACAGAACTCCACACAATCGTCATTGAAAGCAACAATTAGAGCCCACATATGTTGTGACAGCATGTAGTCTTCTTTTGTATAACAGGTAGAAAGACTGGGGGAGCACAGGAGCAAACATATCATAGACAAGGTAAGTTTCACAGGTCATTATGAGAAAATTTCCAGAACACATACCATAAAATCCCGAGAGATAGCCCACCTAACATCAGAGCAAATCAAGTGAAAACTGGAGTGGGCTAACTATAAGTGTACAATCAAGAAAAAAAAAATTGCTATTTCTTAGGTAGTGTCTTTTTCAAGACTGCTATGGTGGCGATGGGCAATAAAGTAAGGATGACTATACTTCCCAGTCAGCAATGTTCGCTTATATCCCGCCATAGCTAACTAGCTGCATTTACACCAAGGCCACCGATGATCCCATCACTACTAATACTAAGAGTGGGCTATCTTTCGGTGTTTAAAAAAAATAGAGCAAATCAAGCCAAAAGTAGGGGTGGGCTATCTTTCGGGCGTGAGGCATCTTTCGGGATTTCACAGTAGTGCTACGTACACAAATGATCTGGTCACAACACAAACACTGACACTTTTGCACCGTCTTGCTGGACACCCTGCATAAACGGCCAAGCACGACATCCTGCACAGTTAAAACTGTATTGGTGTAACTATAAAAAAAAATGTATTACCTCTTGTCCTGGATAGCTGAGCAACGTTCTGCGTTCGAGTGTCAATGATGAACCCTTTTTTTCCACTCGTCAACAAAGAGTCGAGCAGCTTTTCGTCGTCCCTGGAGCGGCGCATGGCTGTTCCGACCATGGGCTGACCGCACCTCAGTAGTGCCGTCTGCCAACGAGATTACAGTACTTAACCTTTTTTCTTTCCTTTTTTTTTTTTTTTTTCAAAAGCTGATTGTCAGTTTTTACTCTCAATTTCTTTCTTTTAATGTAGCAGGCAAGTAATCCCTACATTGTTACATGCGCAACTCGCCGATCTTCCAAAATCCCCACAAAAGGGGCTTTTTGCTTTCTCTTGTCGATGAACACCAAGATAGAGTAACAAATGTTCAACCATGAAAAAGAAGAGGGTTTTCGGAACTGGCCCTTATGAACACTAGAAAGACGAATTCCAATTTTTAACAAGTGCACAAACAAGATAGCATAAACCAAACATAATTTGCAAAGAACCCCAAGACAGGTAAAAAAAAAATGACAGAAAAACCAGACTTTGTGTTTGTGTTGACCCGTCTTTTCCTCTATCTCAGGGTTCTACGTAACTGCGTCCCATTTTTGTTTACTAAACTTGTTTTTCAATTTTTAAGAGGCGAAATACACTTGCTAAATTTTATGGGCAAAGCTCCTTAGGGGCTAGCCATGTCCGTATGTCCGTCCGATGTCCGGCGTCAGGTGCTCGTGCTCACGAGCACGTAAGCACGTGCTCGTGTTGGGAAAAAAAAAAAATGCATCTCCATGTGGTGAATGATGTTGATTGGGGCGAAGCTCTGGTGGTGCTTGTCTGCGTAGACGGTGAGCTGCAGCATGCTGAGCCTTTCGTTCGTTTTCATCCATGTCAGAAAGAGAATGTCTGGTATGGAACGTGGTTATATACGCATTTGAGCATTTGACCACAGCGTGACGGATGAAAACGAATGAAAGGCTCGGCATGCTGCGGCTCAGCGTCTACGCAGACAAGCACCACTAGAGCTTCGCCCCAATCAACATCATTCACCACGTGGAGATGTGGCTGTTTTTTTCTACAATTTTCATTAGTTCTACTTTGGCCACTGTTACTCATGAAAATAAGATTGTATCCTATGTTCTATAACTTTCTTTACATACATTCTCTCCCTCAGTGCAGGTGTCGAAGACGAGCAGTGTTGCTATGATTGGTTTATGAACTGTTAAATCAATTTCAATGGCAAAAAAAAAAATCACAGATTTGGATTAGAGCTTGTTCAGTAAAATTCATGTTTCTGTTCTTACTTCTGCTAAATGCTGAGCTCACCTTGACCCTCTTGTGTAGGTAGCTGAGCACTGGAAAACGCCCAGACTGCCTGAAGGAAGCGGAGCCAACTAAGACGCTGTCCTCTATACTCTTCGGGACAATAACTCGATCTGGATATGAGGCACAAACCTGAAAAGAAAAAAAATTTGGAAGAATTTGCATTATTTTGTAATTGCCAAATCCTCTGCCATAGTGTTTCCCAGTTTCAACTTCAGAAGTAATTTTTTTTTTTTCTTTTTCTTAAACGAAAGGGCAAATGATTTTGGTGAAGATTGGGGATTTCAATTAATGTTTCAAAATATTCCGTGTATGGTCCAGCATGATACTATGACTTTCTAGGATCTGCTGACGCTGTTCAATGTTATTTTATTGTGGTTTTCAATGGCTTTAGAAACACCCTCCGTAGTCAGCTGACTAACCGCTCGTTTCCGCAGCAGATCCAGCCAGCTCGCAGTGAACTGAAAACTTAATTACAGCCAGATTTGCATGGAAAAGCAGTAGAATGTTAAGGGAAATGCACCTTTGAGATTGAGACGACCGTATAGACATGCAGGTCACGGTTGTTCTGGCGGAACAGCATTTTCTTTTGCAACTCCTGATATTGTGATACACGTTCGACGAAAGTGAACTGCAGCAGTGTTCTCAGCGTAGTACACTTGCAGTTTGGTGAGCTTGTAGGACGCTGCATTTCTTGTCAGTGCACTGAGGCAGGGCTTAGGCCAATCACTGCGCCGCAAATGCGGAACGAGTAGGGGAGGCTTGAGTGGCTACAATATTCACCAAGATAGGTCCTGCATTCTTTAAGTGCTGTTTACACTCTTTCAATCTTGTTTTGAGCCATTAACCCTTTGCCTACTGCAATAATCTAAAAAAAAATATATATACATATATACTGATTTTTTATTTTGACATTTTAACATTGGATGTTAATGGCAAGTTCTAAGTAGCGTAAACAATTTTCATCACTTGCTACGCCAACATTCATGCCTGGCACAGCTCTGAAGTGAAAATTCGGAAATACAGGGGGAGGCTTCTCCAAGTTGACTCTCGCACAATGTTAACACACCAACATGATGTCTTCCTCAAAATCTGAGTCGTCGGAGCTAGGTTCAAACAGCTCTGCGGCCTCACTGTCACTGTCGGACAAAATGTTTACGTCCTCGTCATCTGAATCGGAAGATGCATTAGGAAATCTTCATTTTTCCCGCATTTTTGTCACAAGGGGCACTGCTTCCAGAAGTGGACACTGCCATTTTTAAGCCCTCGTTGCCAGCGTTGAACCAGTTTCCGGCTAAAACTAGAAATTTGCCAGATCATGTGCGCCATCTTATGACGGCATAAAACACCAAACGCACGTCGACTAGCCCAGTTCGCTGTTGGTAAGGGACGTGGGCTTTATTTCAACGTGGACAAGCCCAGCCCATCTTCAGGAGGAGTGGTACAAACAGTGCAGACAGACCCAGCTTGTCCATGGTAGGGTAAAGATTAAGGGGAGACGTGGGTCGAAAAGTCGCAATTTTCTGAAAAAATTTCACTTTTTCTTTTTTGTTGCATTGCCGACCTTGGACTATAACCTTTCATTTCTGAAAATATCAAGCTGAAAATCGCACAAGAAAATATCTAAAAATGCGTCCAAGTGAGCAGTGGTGACGTGAGAACCGGGCAAAAGTCGCGAAAATTTGTGTGGTTTGCGTCCTTCTGCCGCGAAAGTAACGCGCCACCCGCCATTTCGCATGCGGCGGCAGCCGTCTCCTCCGCTCAATAGTAAAATATGGCTGCTGTGCCCAAAAACCAAGTTCGCCTCCAGGAAATACTGTGGAGACGGCCACAGCGATTGCTGTACTTTGGTACAACAAAGGCCATACAGGCTTTGAAAGAGTGCTGGAAGAGATTGGAGTACTTCCTTCTGAAGATTTGGTCATGCATGGTGACCATTGCGATCAAACGCGCATCAAGAAAATGAACACCTAGCAAACAGTGGAAGCCAGGGCACATTTACGCAGCACAGTGAAGAGGGCCCAGAGTGAGGAAACAACCCGCAAGAGCCAGGAGGGACAAAGTTATTGTGCTGGAGGGTTTTAGAAACTTGTCAGTGCATTTTGCCATTGTGGCCAGATTTTATGCAAATGATTGCATTTTGCATTTCAATGAATAGAAACTTCACAAACTTTCAAACCTGTTTTTCTCATTTTCACGTTTTTTGAAAATTTCACGTTTTCCGGGCAGCCTTTTGTGAACTTATAGTTAACCTATAGTAACGAAATTTGGTACAGATGTTCTTCAAGACATGTAGAGGGCTGATATCTAATTGAAACTGAATTTTCTATCAGCATTAGTTATGAAACTTCTTATTTATTGTTTCAAGGTAGACTGAAAATAATTAGGTACAGAGCACAAACTTTTTTTGCATAGTTCTAGTATTTTTGTGCAAAGTGTGGCTAGATATCAGCACTCTGCAATCTCTGAAGAGTCAAATAAGATACAGCATGATACTTTTCTTGTAAATTTAGTTTATCAAAAACTTCCCGGAAAAAGTGCTATTTTTTTGCATTGTGTATTTCATAACTCGATAACTATAGTAGCTAGGTGAAAACTCAATACATATTTGAAATCTGCATGAAAAACTATACCAAGGGCTGAATTTTTATGTCTCTAGTTAAAGAATTAAAAAAAAAGTTGTTTCGGGGAGCGTATCCCCTTAAAGTATGATGCGTAGTGCATAATACATCTTCCCTCTCGCAGTAACACCCAACAAACAAAACACTTGAGACGCTACACAGTTGCACAGTTTTGGAGCACCTCTTTGTTGGTGTCTTTTTGAGCATGCAAGCACGTGCTCACATATACCGTGATAAAGACGCAAGCACGGAGCTGTTTCGGATCACTTCAGATTCATGGAGAGAATTTCATATAACTATCATTTTAAAGTGTCGGGGCCATCCAGCCATAGTCATTTTGTCAAATAAGGAGCATGTAGGTACTTCTTGCTTGGCAACCCTGATCTGCCAGTCGTGCGGCTTAAAATTCCCCCAATGGAACGCAATTATTTCCTGCCCAGGATTATTGTTCTCGTAAACAGGCCCCCTGAGGCTAAAAATTTTTAACGCACAACGGAACGCTGATATGCGGTGCTGCTGCAATTCTAATTATCTAGAATCAGTGGCAAAAGAGACAGAGCATTCCACAATGTCGCGGCACCTGCTGTCAAGAGTGGTGCTTGGCACATGCGCATTTCTTTCATATTCGCAGGGATACCGATTCTTTCGTTTCCGGCAGCTGTGCCGTGATTCTCTATAACTTGCCGTGTGGCACCGCTTCGGAAGCATCCATACCGAGCTGCGCCAGAGATACGAGCTAAAGGCTCTGTTATACTCCCGACTTTTAGCACAGCTAACTCAGTGTAGTGCAGAACGTGCACCTTCCATTCTTTCTGTGTGTGCTGCACTACGCAGCGCTTGCTAAGCTCAACGTCGGAATATAGTATAGCCTTAAGAAGGTGCGCCGGCCGACTGGCCTGGCTAGCCGCACCTGTGAATCACCCAGGAGGAGGATTCGCCGATCTAGCAAGCTCACACGGCGGCAACTCTCTTCACCTTACTCCGATCCCAAGACTGTAATTTCTTTATTCACATAAAGCGGAAAAAAAAAAAAAAGCATATGCTTTTGCTAGCTGATCTCTGCAGGTGAACTGCCTAATGACTGGTAAAATTACCGTTCACTGAAATGACTTGCTCCACGCGTCGAGGCAGAGACTCGTTGAGGGATGCCACCAGCTCAGGTCGTTGCACAGAAAGTCTCTTACTCTTCTTTCATGCTGATTTCACAATCGTGTTTGAACCACAACCGCAAAGCGGGTTTGCTCGTTTTCGTCATCAAATGCATGTGAACCGCTTTGCAAATGCGGTTCAACCACCAATGTGAATGAGGCACTGTTGCGAGCCAGGGAGCGTCCGCCATGCTACCAATCTTTCATGCTCAAGAATGGCTTTCAACAACCGGCCCAACACTTTGTCTTTCGTAAGTATTACTTACAACTCTTGTTCTTTCGCAAAGGTCAAAGTAAATTATTATTTCACGTGAGAAAGCTTAGGCGACTCGGCTCCTGGCATCTTGCGATATTCTGCAATGTGCTCGGCGCAAGGTGTCTTTAATGAGTATCAGTCTTCTATCTTCGAGTGCACTTTACAATAACAGTCTCGCAAGAGTCAACATTGTTGAGCGATAATCAATCATCATATTGTTCGTTATCAGGTAAAGAAAGTTACCTCGCAGTATAAGCTTGCAAAATCGGCGAATCCCTTCTCTCCCACTACAGGCGCGGCCAGCCGGCCAACGTGGCTTCCTTGCTCAGATTTTGTGCACAGATAGGCGCGGATGCTTCCGAAGCGGAGCCACGAGGAAAATTATTCAGAATCGCGGCGTGGCTGCCGAAAACTAAAGAATCGGCATCCCTGTAAGTATGGACGGATGCGCATATACCAACACTGGTCTTGACAGCAGGTGCTGCGCCATCAGAGTGCGCAGCAATGGTTATTCGTCACTGCTCCCGTGGTCCAGAAACTTTTGCCCCCGACGACCGTACCTGCATCATTATTAAGGGCTATCAAAACTTACAGAGTAGTCCTTGTTGACTGTTGATATCCTCCATTCGTCAGACAGCAACTTTATCCTCGCAAAGTCATGCTCTATTGTAAATGCAGACCACCCGTCTTCCATGATGTCGAACAGTGCCCGATGGAAGAATGGATAAAACACCTTGACATTGTCTAGGGGAGCATGCAAAAAAGCTTTAGTGTAAAATCTTACCGTTTTTTTTTCCTCTAAAAATCTTTGTAAGAACTTCTTACCCAACGTAGAGAGGCATTCTATCGAGTTGGCCACATTGTGGCATTGTTCGACACCCGTAATGTCCAGTTGGAGAATCCTAAAATCCTTGCATTTCAGAAACAACGATCCTGACAAGGCTCCGATACGTCTCTCCACGCTGTCCACCATCCTGTGCAGCAGCTAAACAGGGATCAGTAAAGCTAGTTAGAGATAAAAACACACACGTAAACATGCGGACTCAACCTACAACAAAAGTAACACGATAACCACGTACCCACAACTCCTCGTTGCCTTGCCTACGAGACGAAAAAATAAGGTGGTGGCTGGTAATGCAAAGTGTGCCCTCTACACTAGCGCAGAGGGGTCTGTGAAGAACAACTCTGTCGAGCTTTGGGGTCCGTATGAGTTCGGCGAACTCCATTTTTCTGCGGCGTATTCTGCGAGAAAAGAAACGCGAAATAACGAGAACACTGACGCTTAACAAATGTCAACGAAATTGGAACACGTAAAAATGGTATATAGTCGTACAGAGAGCTCACACGACGATCCCTACCGTAAACATAAGCCAAACATACTGCACGCAAACACCTGCAACGCCTACCCGAGCCCCTTTGCGAGCTCTTGGTTACAGCAGTTTAGCTCGCGTTAGACGACTACAATTGTCAAGTAACAATTATACGTGACGAAATTACTCACCCCTTTTACAATATGCAACTATAAGCTTCACCACTTCACATATTTATTGATGCGACACTAGTAAATAGTGGAGTGAACGACCGCCCAACAGCGCACCGATGCGCGACGCCATTGCGGCAAACTTCTGGCTATGGATTTTGTTACGGATTTCGCTCAAAACCCGAATCAGCTAAAGACATGGACAATTAGCTTTTTTATTCATTTTTTTTAATAGGTGGTCGCTTGTGTCACCTAGACTCTAATGTCGCCTAGCTTAGAGTTTTTAAATCCTTTTTAGATGGAAGACGCGGGTGACTCCGAGTAGCTCACCTAGATGGGTTTAGTCGCTTTACAGTGGTTTCCAGTGGCGTTTTCGAATAAGACACCGATCCATCCCTGAAAAAAAATAACATATGGAAACAACATTTAACAGAGGTTTTATCTCGCAAGAAATGATGAGTAGAACAAAGCCCTTTGTTACCTTTTGATGAGGGTGGATTCTGTGCTCTTGCTTTCCATGAGGCCTCACTGTGAGAATCGTTGCAACGGTTCCAGCAGCCCAGCTGTTGTCGCGTGAACGGCTCGGGGCTCGGTGTACTCGCTCACTCACGTTCACGTGCCCAACCGGCCCAACGCGCAGGACGCGCAGCTGTTTAGCCTTTCTTAGTTTCTTAGGTACCGTTCTCTTCCTTCTGTCATTTGATCGACAGCGCGTGGACCCTTCCTGACCTTTTTGATCTTATTTATTGCACTTGGGAGGTAGAAATGCACAGACGTGCTGGTGTTGGGGGAAGGCTGACGCCCATGCAACTAGTGGGCCCACAACACCGACCCGTACAAAATGACGAGTAAAGTAAAATTTTTAAAAAAGTAGGTAAATATGTTAAATATGTTAGAAGTAGAGGGAGGGACTCAACTCACAAAAACTAAAAGTAGAGAGAGGGACTCGACTCATGAAACAGTCAAGATTCTCTCGAACATTTTTTTTTTTTTTTTGTAGCAAGACAAGAGTGCCGCCAGAGAAAAAAGTGAAAGTCGTTTACAACTCCCTGTAACACCGAATTAGAGCGCAGCTCTTGAGGAGGAGGAGGGGAGGCTACTGAGGGTCACGTGTTCTCGGGGGAAGGGGGTCAAGTGACCCCCCCCCCCCCCCCCGAGGTCACGTGACCTCGGGTTTGGGGGTTCCGGGGGGTTCACGTGGGGGGTCACGTGACCCCCCCTGTGATCTCGGGGAGGGGGTCACGTGACCTGGGGGTAGGGTGACCATATTCCTCAAGGCAGAAAACGGGACATCCCCAGTGACGAAGGGGGGTATTAAGATTGAGATTGGGAGAAAAAAAATTCATCAAATAACTGCTCTTATTTCAAGACGCTACAATATTGCACTAAGCCCTATAGGGCCTAGGGAACAGTCACACTCACAGTTCAGTTGCATGCACTCATTTGGAAGGTCCTGCATCGGGTCCTTCGTTGGTGTGGTTGTATTTTGTCAACGACTGAAGTTTCCTAAGGACTTTATCGTGAAAGACTCGGTCGTAAAAGTCTGCGCACTTATATGGGAAGTTCAACTCGTTTCGGGTTGCTTCAACTCGCTTGGTGCCAATTTCGGAACTATGCACTCATGCGAAAACGGGACATGATACTTTATTGGGCCAAAAAGACGGGACGGCAAAAGCGGACCTCTAAAACGGGACGTCTGGTCACCCTACCTGGGGGGGTCACGTGACCCCCTAAAATTTTTCCGCTAGATTTAGCGGGGAGATTTTTCCGCTAGATTTAGCGGGGAAAATTTTCCACTAGATTTAGTGGGGAAATTCTTCTGCTAAATTTAGCGGGGAAATTTTCCACTAGATTTAGCGGGGAAATTTTTCTGCTAAATTTAGCGGGGAAAATTTTCCGCTAGATTTAGTGGGGAAATTTTTCCGCTAGATTTAGCGGAGAAATTTTCCGCTAGATTTAGCGGGGAATTTTTTCTGCTAAATTTAGCGGGGAAATTTTTCCGCTAGATTTAGCGGGGAAATTTGCCGCTAGATTTAGCGGGGAAATTCCGCTAAATTTAGCGGGGAAATTTACCCATAATGCACCGCGTGGTTACGCCGACGCCGACGGCGACGCCGCTCAAGCTGGAAACGGGCGCCTACGAGCTGCGCTTCAAAAAGAAAGAGGAATGTTTTTATTTAGTTCCCCTTTTCAATAAATAATCTAATCGGGAAAAAGAAAAAAAAAGATCATCACGCAGATGATAGGACGATGTACGATGACTGCAGAGGAGAACCCTAAAACGAGGATAAGCATATGCATTGCCAGACATATAGATAACTTTTTATGCGAGCTTTAAATACCAAACCAAGAATTTCCACGACGTCGGATATATTCTGAAAGCCCAGATCCGTTGCTGACTTTGCATTTCCGCCGTGTCTGGTAAATAAAAACCGGTAGTTTGCGTGCACGCTTCGCCACGTACCAAGGCAAACTGATCCCTGATCCGCGAATGATTCCTAACAAATTCCAACATACCACGGACCTGTCCGAAACGCCATGTATTAATTATTTAGGGTGCGACCTACAACATTTTCCCGAAAAAAAAATAAAAAAATAAGAGTCTAAATTTTGTTTTACCGAAAACAAAACAAAGAAAAAAAAAAAAAAACGAACTACGCGTTGTCGAACGCTTACACTCCACCCAAAGGCGGCATGCGGTCTGGACATGCCAAAGTTTTAGGGCTAACCGTTATTTTAAAACATGAAACGATTTTTAACATTATCCCCTTATCCCAAAATTTTGTCCGTCCGTGCATTTTCCGCCAAATTTAGAGGAGAAAGTGACGTCACCTGACGTCCCGTGACGCACCAACCTCGGTTTTCTGCAGGGAAGATAATCCTCTTAGCGCTCCCCTCTCCGAAGAGAGCCAAGTTGGGGCAACATCTAGATAACAAAGCCGTAGTTCTGAATGACATGACGTCATCAGAGAAGGTCAACGCTGGGCACAGATTGGACACGACGATTGCGTCAACGTTCGGCTCAAACTTCACTCGAAGCCGAACGCTGACGGAGCACTCGTTTCCAATCTGTGTTCAGCGTTGGTCTTCTCTGATGACGCCATCTCATTCAGCACTACGGCTTCGTTATCTAGAAGGTGTTGGTTGGGGCAAGGTAAAAAGTGGAGAGGATACAGAAAAGGAGGAGGCGGAAAAAAGTGGAAAGCGCGAAGAAGAAGGCACGTGATCTACACGTTAATTAAGTTTTCCCACTAGATATAGCGGAAAAATTAACGTCTCGTGGCTGGCCGAAACATTAATTCAGTTTCCCAACTAGATTTAGCGGGGAAATTGACGTCAAGTGACCTATACACCAATTCAGTTTCTTAGCTAAATTTAGCGTGAAAATTAATGTCTTGTGACCTAGACACCAATCCAGTTTCCCCGCTAAGTTTAGCGGGGGAAATCGACGTCCCGTGTCCTGATGGCACGTGACCTAAGCATCAATTCAGTTTCCCCGCTAAATTTAGCGGGGGAAATCGACGTCACGTGACCTATGCAACAATTCAGTTTTCCCGTTAAATTAAGCGAGAAAATATAAGTCATGTATCACTCTGATTCCCTCCCCCTATCCTTCCCCCCTCTCCCCCCCCCCCCCCAGCCCCCTCCTAGCAACACCTCCTAGATAAATTGCTCCCAGGGTGTCCTCTGCATCCCTCTCCCTCCCCGTGTCTTCCCACCCACCTCCAATTACTTACCTCTCCCTCGCTCCCCCTTTCCCCTTCTCCTACAGAACCCTCCCTCCCTCCACCCCTGGTCATGTGACACACCATTTTAGTTTCTCGCTAGATTTAGCGGGGACATATACTTCATGTCACACCAGCTCCCTCTCCACATTTCTATCCTCACAATTACCATCGTTACCAACGGGAGTCCATTGAAGATCGCCCAGGCCCCAAATAGCGGCGGCGCACGAGCAGACAGCCTGAATGTTAGGATGTAGGCTCGTGTGGGGCTCTCCTCCTCCTCCGCGTTCCCTGCCCCAATCCTTCTTCTCACCCTCCTACAGTGCATATAGTGCCCCCTCCCCTGCCCATCTGCCCAATATGTCTTCGTTCCCCTCCTTCCCACCCCAACTTCCTCCCATCCACCCTCCTTCCTCCATCGACTCTCCCACCCTCCCCCAATTCCTACCCGCTTCCTCCCCACTTGCCCTTCTTCCCTTCCCCCTCCCCGGCCACGTGACATAGCTTGCATTGACGTCACTTGGTCAGACATAATAGGGAAAGGTCGCGTGACACTAGCGAGTTTTAGTAGACCGTGTTTCCCCCTTCGCTAATCCCCTCCGCTACCCGGAACTCTACAACCAAGGCCATCGGCACGCAGGCGCAGTGGCGGTTTCTTCGTAGCGGAGGGTCAGCGGAGGGGGACACACGGTCTACGAACACTGACGCTTCTGAGGCTGCACTGCCGCAGAGATCCTCCAGTGACGTCACACGAGTCGGCAGGCGAGCGCCGCGGAAAAACATTGGGCTGAGGGCGTCGGGCATAAATTTACCGACGTAGTCATTTTTATTGGCACAAACGTTTGTTAATAGGTAAAACGGGAGTTATATATGTGACTGGGAAACCTATTTTATCACTCAGGCAGCTTATTAGCACGTACAAGTATTGTTATGATAGGCAAGAATTTCAAGAAATATGGTTTTCGTTTTAGACATAAAAGCGAGAAGACATAAACTCATAATTATTGCCCTGAAAGGTTACTGTAAGAAGTGAAGGGACATGCCAAAACGCATAACAGAAACAATCAAGTAGGTGCTGCTTGCTCACTGAATTCGTTTATGGAGCTAATTAAACGAAGAGTATTAAAACAAAATAAAAATGTGGACTGATGCTCTTTTGACGTTTAAAAACAAATGCAACGTGTTTAAATATAATTTTTAGCAGAGGTAAACAACTAATTATAATAATAAAAAACAACTGAAGGCGAGCTGGCGAATGTTTATCATGAAGTAATTAATACAAAACTGATACACGAAAAAAAAAAAATTAAACGCAGAAAAGACACGAAAAAGAGGGACAGACAGCACCTGAAGAGGTATGCAAACTGGTGCCGTAGTCCGAGAAACGTTTCACCGCTCCGTCAAAAAAGCTGGACTCCCTCTCCGTTCTTTAGTTGAGACACAACAGCGAGTCGTGGCAAGCCGTGTTGATCCGGAGATGGGGAAGCGATCGTGAAACGCTCACGGACCACGGCGCCAGTTTGCATACCAGTTTAATCAACGTGCGGGTGCGGGAGTTTCATGCCCACAACTACCTGCGTTCATTCACGCTACGAATAGAAGCAGTCAATAGAAGTTTTCTCACCTTTGAAAGCTTTAATTGTATCTTCTCGTGAATCCATACTTTCTCCTTGTATCCCATCTTGACACGATTTCACCACAAGCATCTTAGATGTCCTTCTGCAGCTTTCGCGACACCAAGACGCAGCATATGTACGGCATGTGGACTTTAAAGGGAAGATGGGGCACTTCTACATTTGAGAAAAAACGCTTGAATTGCGTTCATTTGGCCTTTAGAATAACAGATATCAAAATTATATTTCAATGCGACGCGCCGGAGAGCCACAAGAGCAATTTCAAAATAGGGCTGAAGCCCCGCCCCCCTAGCCTTGGACAGCCAAAAGATCCGTCGATGACGTCACGGACAGCGACTGTCTTTCGCGTTTTGCTCGCGTTTAACAATACTTACGCAGCAAATGGTTTGAGTATTCGGGTTCACGGGGTAAAAATACACTAGAATTCACTTCTAACTCATTTTTTCCAAGAAGCTCCATAGCTTCCCTTTAAAGAAATGGTGAACCGAAATTTGGATTTCAGAAAAACAATGCTGGAGATGTAGGCTGGACGCTACAATCCTTACAACACTACACGTAAGACGATATCTCGAATGAACGGCCGTATTTTTGGAAAAAGAAGTCGAGATTGAACCAGGCCGACGAGGCGCGTGACCCCCGTCAAGATACCTGGTTTCCTCCTCTCTTCGCTTCGCTCCCTCAAGGCCGCGAGGCGGAGAAGACGCGAGGCCGTTACCTCTCCTTCTCGGAGAAATATGACGTCACATTCCTGCCAAATGCTCCTCTGTTTTAAAAAAAAATACGGACATCCGTTCGAGATATCGCTGTATAAGTGATGTTTTGGTGCTTGTAGCATCCCGTTGCACGCTTTTGCCGCGTGTTTTGGGGAATCCAGATTTCGGTTCAGCATCCCTTTAATGCCGTTGCACAATTATAATGTTATGACAACTATTGCGCTGAATATAAAATAATTTTTTAGATATTAGGGTATCATATGTTCTTTTCTCTGACTTGGAATAAGCCTCATGAATCTAGTCGTTCAACCATCTACAAAAGTTTTTCAGCATAATGTTCGTGCTGCACCACAAGTGGTGAAACAGGCGTCGAAGTCCTCGTTGGTAGACAGTATAGTTCCGTTGTGGGCTCGGTCACGACCTGGCGCTGGTTCCGAACCTTCAAAGACTCTGCCGTTTTGGAGAGTTCTTAAAGAAGCTGTGCAACAATTTTTGTACTTTGCGCAAATACCGCTTAGAACAGATCCCTGACGTTAATGACCTATGAAACACGCGTTCGTTTTTCACTTCACGCAATAGAAGTCCCAGAAAAAAATTAAAGAAAAACGAGCAGCGTTCACCCCCTCAACTCGCAGCCAGAACAAGCGGCCACGCGATCTGGAGCCGATTATATGCCGCCAATGTTGATCATAGCCACGCGCTGGGGTTGGCAAAGCACAGGACACGCGCTGAGTTCCAGACATTGTTATGGCTCGGCTATTGTCGTCGTTGCAGCGATTGGACGCGGGCGACTACCCGAATGCTTTTTGAGCTAGTAATTATCACGAGCCCGAATCGAGTGCCCACGCAGGGCTCGGGTCCAATCTATGAACCGCATTCAAATATCGTCACTTGGGTGTACTGCGATCCCCGAGTTACGTCATCAAATTTTGCAAAGGAGAGATTGAACGAAAATAATTGCTTTTGTCCTTGAAATTTTACCGCAACAAAGGAGTTTCTTGGCCAGTGGCGTTGCGTGCGAGTATCCTTGAGTCCCACTAGTGCCAATAAGCTCGTGTATAGTGAAAAACATTCCAACTGAATATCGTTGCACAGCTCCTTTAAACAACAGCATAATTTTCTCCCAATTGGGCCTTAATGACGAACATATATGAATAAAAAAAGCCCCTCTCGATCCAGTGCACTGACAAGGGAGTAGTTCTGCGCGAGTGAAATTGTTGCTGTCAAGTTTTCTGCGGCGCTGCCCTGCATTTCTGACACTTAAGCATTTTTAAAGCGGCATAAACTGCGTATCCTGCCACGCAGACTATGTAAGACTGGGAGGGTCTCATTTATCGCTTGTGGCACTGCCTCTTCTGTAACGACTATGTTGCAGCTGGGTCGTAGCGTGTTTACTTGTTTTTCAAGCTTCTCCCATCGCTCGTCTTCTCACGTGATTGTCGGCAACGTGCTCTGCGGTTGACAGCTTATTTTCACCTTCATAGAGCTGTCTTAAAGGCATGTGATACTGCGATCCAGCCAGCTGCCGGTACTTCCCGAAACGGTCTTCCAAGCTATCATGCAGTCTGAATCTTTCCCAACAGGACATAGCTCGGCCCGAGCTCAGTGGAGCAGATTACATTGACTTTTTAAAATAAAATGCGCAACAGAGATAGGAGCCTGTAACCTGCAGCTTTCGCATGAAGCGAAAGCTATAGTCTCCTGATTGTGGTTTTGAGAACGGGAGCTTGCGCTACGAAGAAAAGTTTCGAAAACAAAGAGCGCGAGCTAGCTAATACTTGTCGGCTTCGTTGCCGTGTCAGCGTAAAATTAAACGAAGTAAATTAATAAAAAAATACGACGTGAAAATATAGGGAAGTTCGCACCCTGGTAGGCGTCGACAGCACTAGATTTTCTCGAGAGATCGCCCGCAGCAATGCTTCTCGCAGTTCTTCATCATCTGGGAACTTAAATACAGACACTCTGGTCGAGGACATAGTTCTCATGGCAGCCAGGGACACGGCATTTATGAGGCATGACTAGCCCGAGAGGTGTCTGTAACTCGCCAACCACCACGCGCTAACCACCATGCACGCCAAAAGCAAAAGAGACTGTTAATGCAGTTCGCGTACTGCCGCTACGAGCCTTGCGCGAGCCTTTCGTGCGCAAAAAAGGCAAAAATTGTCATTGCGCAACGGTCCGGGAAACCCCCGCCCCCCCTCCACCGCAAAAAAAAAAAAAAGTGTTAGAGCATGTGTTTTATGGCGCACCGGAGGAAAACACAAATATACAAGCGCAAAAAAAAAAAAAGAAAACATGTGTAGCAGAGAAGCCTTCCTCTCAGCTCGGCCCATTCGTCGTGAATCTGTGACGTCACAACTCGGAGCGCTGCGGCCTTAGCTCTAGGTGGTGTTGCTTATGACCACCAGAAAGAAGGGCGGACGTGGGGTAAAGGGCTGGAGAGCGTAGCTTTCGCTGCGTTAAAGGGATACTGAACCGAAATTTGGATTTCGCAAAATAAGGCTGCAGTTCTTTGAACGCGACGCTGTGAACTCTAAAAAACATCACTCATACATCGATACCTCAAACAGATGGCGGTATTTCTGGAAACGAAGGGCGCGATCAAGCAAGGACTCTGACGTCACGATCCTCCTGGAACAGTTAAGAATCAGAGGCCAGATTCCCGAAACTTTCTTACGACAAACAAATTCGTAAATTTATCTTACGACAATGTTACTAAGTTTTGGATATTCCCGAAGCAAAATGTTCGTAAGTTTTACGTAAGTTACGGATTTCGTCATAACTTACGCAAAACTTACGAACATTTTGCTTCGAGAATACTGAAAATTCCGTAACTTTGTCGTAAGATAATTTTACGAGCTTTTTCGTCGTAAGAAAGTTTCGGGAATCTGGCCTCAGGGGAAGAGGCATCGCTTCCCTCTTCCACGCTTCGGTTCACCAGCTCGACAGGACGAAGCGAGGAGGAGAGGGAATGAGAATCGTGACGTCAGATGTCTTGTCGGCCTCGTCGGGCCGCGTTCAATCCCGCATTTCTTTTCCAAAAAGACGGCCATTTGTTAAAGATATCGCTGTATGAGTGGTGTTTTTAAGTTCTGCAGAATCCGAACTATTACTTCAGCCCTGTTTTGTGAGCTCGACATTTCGGTTCAGTATACCTTTAACGAGGCGCTTCTGGCCACCAGAAAGAATGTCGGACTGACGTCACGTGCAAGCCATGTTGAAACAATAGCTCCTATAAACTGTACAATTGAAAACGAGCGTGTTGGTTAATAGATACAAAACTTGAAAGTATAAAACAGCGAGGACGCGGACGAGAACAGGAAATCTTTCAGTGCGGCACAGCGCCGCCCTGAAAGATGTCCTGTTCCCGCCCTCGTCCTCGCTGTTTTATACTTGTTTTGTATTTATAAGGAGTGTTTTATGCATTATACGACTTTGAAAGTAAAAGGTCGCTGCCGATTGTTTGGCAATGACATTTACTTATAACTTATTCAGAAGTTACAACTTATAAGTAATATTCTGAAACTTTCAATAGAAAAATGGGGCCCGCTTCCCTTCCCGTATCCGACAACATTTATCTCCATGTATTCGCGGGCTTAGTCGGCCGCCGTAATTCCCTTCGAAAATTAAAAAAAAAAAAAAGAAAAAGAAATTGTACATAACTTTTGAACCAAAAGGCGGCAAGCTCTGAGACTTGAACATCCGATCCGGACCGCTTGAGCTACATTTGGCCAGAGACTGCGCGTTCGGCAATCTGTAATTTATTTTTGCAAAAAAAAAAAGAAAAAAAAAAGACACTATTTTTTTTTTTTTTTGTACATTCTGTAAGCACAAGTAATCTACCCAAGAATAAATAAAATCAATCGCAAGTTGTCTTTTTGTCGGCTTCGGATCATATTCGCGGGTGCTCTTGAAGAAGCTGTACAACGAAGACAGAGGAAAAAACACACAGGTCAGATATTTTCACACAAGAAGTAGCGTAAGTCCACACGTCGCTCGTCACGAAGCCTTGCGGACGTCATTCCCAACGGCCCCGAAAAGTTCAACGCTCGGCCGGCTTCAGATGTACAAGCGCATGGCAAAGTCCCCCTTAGATTCGGCACTGTCGATGCTCTCGTAGGGCGGAGGTTCCTGCAGATAGTCGAGCAGGAAAGGTGGATGCCGCTTGTGGTCGGGCAGGTCGTCGATGTGCGTCTGGGGGACCCCGGAGCTCACCGAAGGCACAGCGCCGCCCTGCTGCACGTCCCGCTCCTGGAGCTCCTGGTAGTAGGAGACGGCTACCAGAAGGAAGTAGGCCTAAATGGAGCGGAGTAAAAACGGGAGAAAATTAACTCGCGTGGAATTTATGATCATTGCTTCGCTTACAGTTTGAGACTAAGAGCTAGAATGCATTTTACGAGGGTGAGTCAAATGAAAATTCTACGAGCAGAGGTTACGTTTCCCTTTCGTCCACGTACAGGAAGCGCAAGTATGGTAAAATTAACGTTGACGCGATGCAGCCCCCTGTGACGTATGCGGTGTTCCCGAAGATATTGTCCCGGATAAAACTAGGAGATGAATGTAGAACTGAAAATAAACATTTAGTGAGGCGAACTTGCGCTGACAACTTTAAATGGATGGTGAACCGAAATTTGGATTTCAGAAAACAATGCAGGAGCTGTAGGCGGAACACTACAATCCCCACAACACTACTCGTAAGGCGATATCTCGAAAGGACAGCCGTATTTTTGGAAAAAGAGGTCGAGATTGAACGAGGCCGACGAGGCGCGTGACGTCAACATATCTTGTTTCCTTCGCTCTTCGCTTCGCCCCCTCAAGGCGGCGAGGCGGAGAAGACGCGATGCCGTTCCCTCTCCTTCTCGACTGTTCTCGCAGAAACAAGACGTCAACATATCTGAAAAATGCGCCTCCTTTTTTTTTTTTTTTTTTGTGTTGAAAAATACGGTTCTTCGTTCGAGATATCGCTGTATGAGCGATGTTTTGGTGTTTGTAGCATCCCGTTGCACGCTTTTGCCGCCGTGCTTTGTGGAATCCAGATTTCGGTTCAGCATCCCTTTAAAGAGAACAGTACCATGAATCTCGCGTCGGTGACAAAAGAGCGACTTTCTTGAAGGTGCACGTTACCGCTGGATCGGAACATTCCTGAACATACACACGGTACGCTCAGGAATGTTCGCAACCAGTATACTCGATGACAGCCGAGAATGCACTGGTACTTTCCAGAAGAGTACAGAATACATAAAAGAAAGATCCGGGGCCTGCTGGGTTTGGACCCCGCTCATCCGCGTGGCAGCCGGGTCTGTAGCCAACTCCGCTAATCACTCGGCACTATTAAACATAGAAGGTAGGGCGAGGGTAAGGAGGGCCGGGGAGGAGGAAGCAGAGGGGCACATTGGAGAAGAGGGGAGGAAACCTCCTTCTCTCTTTAGCGTACCGTCTGCTTCCTCCTCCCCTGCCCTTCTTACCCTCGCCCTACCTTCTTGAGTTGCAGCGGACTATAGGATATGTTTAATAGAAGACTGAAACTAGTTTGACAATGAAATAAAACATCTCGCATCAGAGTTAAAAATACATCACTTCGTCGTTGGGAACCCGTGGAAATATTTTCCTATTTGGTACCCGAGCTTGGAGGAAGTTACTTGAGAGGATATTCCTGAACTCCCTCCAAGCCATTGGGTACAAGGTCAACTTTAACAAGTAGAGCATGTTCCGAAAGTGACGAACATAACGAAGTGCGTTTGTGAAGAACGCACTTCGTTCTTCACTTTTTGTTCTTTCTATACGTTCTTCGTTTATTCATTTAATTTTCTCTTCTCGGAGCGAAAAATGTCAGCTTATCGACACACTACTCTCTTTCTCTCCCTAAACCTTGAATATGTTTTTGCTCTAATCGTATTAAACAGAAATGTATTTTTTTTTCTTCAGCACAATCTCCATTCGGCTGAATGCAAGTCTTCCAGCGCTTAACAAGCGCGTAAATTCTTCTACAAAACATCAACAAATTTAGTTGCGTGAGACATTTACCGCCTCTTCTTCATCAGACTAATAATTTCCTCCAATTGTCTCCCTGAGGGTTCAAAATGTGTTAATAACAGAGCGAGAACTATGAGTGACCATGGCAAGTGCGCTCATTTCGTTTACCGTCACTCGTCAATTCTTCATTGCAATGCCTTCAACTGCTCCAATGAAGTCCAGTGTCACCGCTCGGTGTGCCTGGCACGGGTGAGGAGTCTGTAGCAGAACTCACGCAGTCTCGAAATCTTCTTGTCCATTCGTACACTTTGTGGGCTGACTGACAAGCATCACCATAATACAACTTAGTTCGGCAATGAATTCCAATAGTTTTCACTCCTTCAGTACCTAAAAATCGTATGACAGAACGTTGTTCCTCTTTGGTGCATGACTCAAGTGGGGTGGCTACTTTTATGCTGGTACCACGACGTTATGATGGTTGTCCGTACTACATCTGCTGCCACTTGCTGGACACTTTTAGTTATAGGTAAGAAGGCTGCGAAACGTACAGGATCATATTTCAAAATGACACGGCGATTTTAAAGTCAAGACTAAATTAAACGAGATCAAACTGAACCTCGCTAGAATTTTCGAAACTTCTCACCCGCAGCAACACGATGGTGAGCGCCGACACGATCCCACCGATAGCATTTGGAGCCTGTAAGACAGAAACATCATTAGTATCAATGCATCCATTGCATTTAAGTCACATGACTCGCTCTACAAGGTGTTTCCGCACTCTATTCGTGCAATAAAAAAAACTCGTATAAATCAACCAACGAACTGAGTGCAACGAAACTTCTCTCAAATATGCCTTATCTCGTGCATTTATTATACACAGAATTTATGAGTGTAGGTTTGAAAAGAAAAAAAAAAAAGAAGGGCAGAACCAGTGGCGTCACTAGGGTCAACAGCACCCAAAGCGGTGGCCAGCCGCGACACCCCCTTCCGCCTTTTCACTTCCCAGCTGCCCCCCTTTGAGCGCTGCACCCGCCCTCCGCGCTCCCCCCGCCCCCCCCCCCCCCCCCCTTTTTGTGACGCCATTGGCGAGAACCAACTATGATGTTGTCAAATTAAGCGATAAGATTCATACATAACCGAAAAAACCGCGGACGGTCACGTAACGTCCATTTTCCCGCCAAAATTAGCGGGTGAACTGAATTTGTGTGTAGGTCACGTGACATCAAACGATGTGACGTCATTTTCCCCGCTAAAGTTGGCGGGGAAACTGCATCGATGTTAAGGCCAGGTGAAGTCAACTTTCCCACTAAATCTAGCGGGGAAACTAAATTTTGGTATGGGTCACGCGACATTGTGTGACCTGACGTCAATTTTTCTGCTACATTTAGCGGGGAAACTGAATTTGTGTATAAGTCAAGTGATGTGACATCGTTTTCCCGCTAAATTTAAAGGGAAAAATAAGCGGTCAGAAGCAAACGCCACGGTGGCCTGAAGATCGTAAAAATGTCAATCGCTTTAAAATAAGCCTAAAAAAATTCATGTTTGTTCCCTACACGCCCAAGAGGAAAACGGTGAAAACCGTCTGGTTGACACTGGTATATTCAAAGGTGGCACAACATACAGCAAAAGCACGAAAAACTTCTTTGAGATGAACGCCGGCAAGCACATCCAGCAGATTCCAGCTTGTGCGGTATACGATTTGTGAGCGCCAACAAGATTTACTTTTATCACTTTCCTCCCCGTGCATAGGGTATAAAATTTTTGAAGCTTCATTGCCCCCCCCCCCCCCCCCCCCCCCCCCCCCCCCCCCCCCGAAACCTATATCGTCGATGGGGGCGCGGTCCTGCGCTCTCAGCGCTGATTCGACAGATACACGCGTGCGAATTCTTCATTTCCTCTTAAATGTCACGAAAAGTCGTCTTCCGGCAGCACACAACTGGTCTCACCTGATAACCGTACGTCGGCAGACAGGTCACGTAGATGGCTAAGATCAACACGAGGGTGACGATACCGCAGCCAGTTAAGCCGATGAACGGCATCAGCAACCACCGGTTCTCCTGCAAGGGTACAGATGCGGTGTAGCACAGGGGAACATATATGAATACGCAGAGAAAACGTTTTCGGCAGCTGCGTAGCTTCTATTATAAATCCTCTTTAGAACGGTAGAAAAGTCGCCTCCAGCGCGAGCTTGTTACCTTCGATAAGAGATCTCGTGAGCTTCGAGCATGCACGCGCAGCGAAAGCTCGACGAAAGGCAAAGAGCGCGAGCTGCAGAGGCCGGGCATTCGAACTTCCGAAGAAAGTTCGAATGCCCAGCCTCTCCAGCTTGCGCTCTTTGCCTTTCTGCAGCTCGCCTCTGCAGCTCGTTCTCGTTGCACTGTCGTTCTCATCTCGTTGCACTGTCGTTCTTATCCTGTCGGTGAATGCAATTCCGTTCATTTTACCGCTGTGCCTTTCTCTCTCTCTCTCTCTCTGAGTTGGTAAAGGAACCTTCGCCTTTCTCTGGTAGAAAAAAGGGAAGTTGACGCCTAACTGGTATAAACATTAACAAAAATGAATGAATAAAACATCTGACCAAACTGCTTTTACTCCAGAGCAAAAACAACAAATACCCCGGGCCCGTTTCACAGCTCGCGATCTCCACGTTTACGTGCTTCTCCGCTTGCGCTGATTCGACGATTTTTTTTTTTAGACTTCCTTGCGGAGGCTTTGGAATTGCCCGTAAAATAGGGACATGACACGTCTGCACCCTTTCCTGAAAAAGTGTCGATGTTCGTCCTCGGCCTTGATGCTTTTTTTTCTTTTCAAAAACTTGTAAAGGGGTTAGCACACACCAAAAATAAAATATGAGATAACTATACTGCCAGGATCCATCATAAGTTTTGAAAATGGCGCGCTAGTTTCGTGGATAAATCGATGTATATGAGGGACATTCGGATCCGCCCAATTCGAAAAGGCCGTCGTAGCGAAAAGGCCGCCGCTTGGCTGGTGACGTCACCAGCCAAGCGCGCGGCGTCCCCTTGCACGCACTCACAGATTAGGCTCTCTTGGTGTCACGAGCTTCAGCATCCTCGTTTACCTTCCGCGTTTCGAGCATGCGCTTCGTGACGATTACGTCTACGCGGTCTCGTACGCATTACTGAAAAAAAGTAACCGATTACAATTAATTTATCGAAATATGTAAGCGATTGCAGTAATCAATTACTATATCACGAGAGTAATTTAAAAATTACCAGAATGTAGTTGATTACTTTTCGCGTTAATTTTTAGGTTACTACATGAGGCCAGTGCAGAACGTAGTCATCTATGACGTTGCAAACGCGGAGTGAAGCAACCCGCACACAGGGAACGAGGCACACTCGACAGCTCGACAGTCAAAATGACGCTGAGAACGTTGACATTGTAATCCTTCTGGTATCTTGGTATCTTTTCTTAGATGTTTAGGGGTAAAAAGAAAAGAAAAAAGTGTTCAACGTTGGTGCAACATTGACAAGTGATGGACGGGCAGACAGAGCGATTTTTTTCTTTTACGTAAGATAAGGCTCAACTTGGAAACATATAATTGATTAGTTAGAATGGATTACGGAAAAATAGTAATTGAATTACAGCGACGTTGTAACTCTTCACGTACAAGTCTACGTCGCATCTCTCGCTCCGTCAAAGTCTTCGACACGCAGCAGCAACGTGTGTGATTGTTATCAAGAGATGTTGGAAGCTGGTCATTTTGACTGCGACCCACTGTCGACCCGCTCCAGCGACGACGAGTCACGGACGAACTCGCCCTGGTCGCCGTCACCGTGACAATCTCGCACGTGCACGCAGGGTGGAAGGTCAAAAGGCCGGGGGTGAGAGCGAGAATAGTGTTGAAGTAGCCGAATTGCGTGAACGGTTTTGATCGTATACCGTGGTGAGGCGAGCTTGGGCGATCATGGGAAGGCCTAAAATGAGAGAGCGTTCATCATCGCGTGGTTTAGGAGCACCATGGTGTGACTAACATAGGCAGTGTTGCCTGGTCGCCAGCTGAAAAATTATCAAAATATGTAAATTGATTATCGCAAAACTTGGTGTATACACTAAGTAGCCTATGAGCATTCAATTTTTAGGAATGATCTACCCGTTTAATTTTTGTGTCCTAACCCATTTAATCTTACAGAACGCGCTCAAGCAGATATTTATTTACTCATGTTCGTTTAGTAGTTTTATACTAATTATTATTTTTTCTTTCTGGCTGCAGTTATTCAAAATGGTTTTCTTTTTCGTAAGATCTGTCTTTTCTTTTTTGTCTGCCTCCAGATGGTATTAACTTCGTAAATATTTTCATCCCCGATAATTGAAATTACGTATTTCAAAACCGGATATTGCACCGGATCTGTCTCTTATTTCACCGATCCCCAAAGCAATTGCTTTAGTTAACAGCGTTTCTCTCCCCCCCCTTTCCACTTATAATGTTGCAGGTTGCAAATATATAAGAGGTGCCTGTGACAGATGAGATCAAATACAGCAGATGTCGTACGTGGGAGGGAGGAAAGAAACGTACCAGATATGTCGCCTTGATGGCCATCCAAGCAGAGATAATTTCGAACAGCAGGATGAGCCCGAACCCGAACACGGCGACGAACTCAATCAGCGGAGATGCAGCTGCGAACGCAGAAAGATATTCACACCGACACAAATACACACACGTACACACACACGCACACACACATACATACACACAAACACAAACATACAGAAGGATTATGTCATTGTTTCTTCGGTAAATACGTCCTTCGATGTTCGAATGGTAATCTTGTCAAAGAGACCAATTGCCTTTAAAAAAAAAATGCTATGCACGAAGGCAAAGACAGAGTGAAGTGGACGGAGCAATATAAGTGCGGACTGTCCGCCGGACATTTATTGTGATAATTATTGAACCTGTACCTGTACGACGTTTCGGCCTGAGACAGACCTTTTTCGAGACTCGAAAAAGGTCTGTCTCAGGCCGAAACGTCGACAAACTTTACAAATAATATGTTTTAAAAACTCCAACTACCGTCTCAAGTGCGTTTTCTGCCGTATAAACTTTTCGTCATCCTGCGCTACGTTTTCTCTTTCTCTCTCTTTCTAATATATATATATATATGAAGTTAAGAGTATTGAACCTATCAAACATGAGAAGTCAATAGCGTGGAGACGTGTTTTCCCGGAATCCTTTGAGCTGCGCGCATTGCAAGTGAAGTTGATGCACCCCAACACTGCTGATCTAGCCCATTCCACTGTTTACGCACACGATAAACGTCCACGCAGCATGAGATAAAAAAAGTTCACCCCCGTGCTTGGCTCTTCGGAAAGTTCCGAAGCACGCGCCTAACGCAACAACATCTAAAATGGAAGCTGAGAAGCCCTTTTGTGTTTAACGGTTTATTAGCTGTTGCCCTGGCGTCTCTGGTTTGTCATGCTGGTGGTCTACCTGTCACAAGCGTTGCCTTTGCCTGGGTGATTATCGAATAACCTAATCACACTGAGTCAAAGCATAGCGCAGGGTTCACAGCACAGCTAGACCATGTAATCGAACTTACTATAGAATAGATGGTCTAATATAGGGGGCAATACCCTGGAGTTTAACGTAACCCACGTGTAACGCGGAAAGCCGGGGGAGCATTCTCTGTTTCATCCACAAGTCGAGTGAAACGAACGGCGTGTCACCCGAGCCAAGTGGCCAACCATAGCAAGCACACCGCGCGCTAATTGGCCTTGATTGGATCTGAAGGTTAGTGGGGTTTGCCGAGGTGCACTTTAGGTTTAGAAAGAAACGAATTCCAGCTGATTCGACATTCGTTCAGAAACCAAAACAAAAGAGGAAATGAGGAGAGGTTTGTGAATTTGAGGCCGGCAGGGCCCTAATTTCAAGGTTGGCGTGGCGCTGAAGCAAGGGAGTCGTCGATACTCTCACCGGGAAAGTCAGAAACTATACAGCGCTGTTCCCGTTTAACGCCGTGTGCAGTAAACGAGGCTGACGTAAACTGGGTCATGATGGCAGTAAGTCCTTCAACGCGCACGCGTGTTTTCTGTATAGGCATAGACACAAGTGCAGAAAAGGTGCGAGGGGCGAATTAAAAGTGGGTCAGCAGCAATAGCAGCAGCAGGACTCACGTTTCGCTTCGAAGCCCATGGACATGTTCAGAGAGTCGAGCAATTTTTGCCGGTGGTACAGCGAAATCAGGAACCACGTGAACAAGACCGACGACACGCACTGTAAAAGAGACGAGCGACGATGAGCTCGAGGCCTTACATGTCCTGACACCCTGACATAGTTCGCTGCAGTGGCAGGGGATACTGCATTGTTAAGCATGCAGCGTTTGATTTTCACGTATACTGCTAGGATGTGGATTGGGTGGTCAGAGATAAACTTAAGATGAGACAAGATAAGTTTATTTGATTACAAAGTAAGCTCTCATACAATCCTGCCCTTTGCATTTACTAAAACTATAGATATATTTCTATATTTCCCGTGCGCTCCGGTTTCTCATCGCTATACATACCTTGCACTGATGTCACATCACCAGACAAACGTTCGTCATTCCGTACTTGCACAAGATTTGCCACAATTTAAAGAGAATGGGAAAAAGAGCAGAAACTGGAGTAGTTTTTTTCTGGAGCGTTTGTCTGCCCTCCGCAGGAAGGTGAATAAGATCGGGGAGGAGAAGAAACATGGCACAAAAAAGCGCCGACAGCCTTTCGTTAACTGTCAAGAGTGCGTGGTGTATTCTATTCCTTTGTCGTGTGACAGGTTCTACATCGGACAAACCAGGCGGTGCATTAATGACCGATTAAGGGAACATTAGTATAATGTATCAAAACAAATCTCCGGTCATCTGGGAATTCACTGCACCCCTGAATACCAAAAAAGCAAAATATTCAGTGGTGACAAACTAACTCGAGAGGTAATAGAAGCTTACAAAATAAAACAAACTAAAAGACATGTGTCAGCACGGCTTCCGTTGGTTTGTCCGATAAGGGAATTTGTTTCCTTACTGGTGCATGTTAGGGACCAACTATGACACGTCACTGTATATTCTAACTAATAAGATGCTGAGACTGCATGCATTTTTTGTGTCTTTTCTTTCGCACTCCGTTTATTTGGTTGTTGCCCAGGTGTATATATATACTGGGAGCGGGTGGTAATAAACCATCAGTTGATTGTCTGCGCTGCCGTCTGTCTCGTCTTTGTCCTTGTCTTGTCGCGCGCTCTTTTAAACCAAGATGCTTATCAATCAACTAACCCAAACATACCTTTTAGGAAACACAGAATTTATTTCGAGAATTATATACCGCCCGTGGTTATATTTTGGACGATGCAAACCAGGCGAATGCATAAGTAGCGTTCGCCATCATTCAAGGTTACAATCGACAAAACCTTCTCTATGCAACGGCATTCAAACAAAATTACCAGCGACCTTTATCTTCAAAGTCCTATGCAATACATAAAATTCAGTGAATGTGTAAAAAGCGATCGTTTAAATTTGTTTACGAGCCATTAAATAGTATAGTTTCGGGAGTGAAGGTTAACTTGTAATGTTTATTAATTTTCCTGCTATGTTTAGCGGGGAATCTGACTTGGTGTATAGGTAACGTGACGTCAGGTCACTTGACGTCAATTTCCCCGCTAAATGCAGTAGAGAAATGCATCGAAGGACGGACGGACCGAAAGACGGATGGACAGCAGATGCCTGGGACTAAAGGGTCCCTCAAAAAGCGATTACTGTTTTGAAATCACGTCGAGGCAGTGTTACACAGACTGACAGACAGGATCGCTCCCAACCCTGATTTTCGTTGAAATCAAGTTTTAGACTTTGCACTCTCCGTGCTTTTTGTCACACCGCACAATATGTAGCTCGTAAAACTCGAACGCAAAACCAATTAATACACTGGCGCCTTCGCACAATGTGGAAATAAAACATCTGCTGAAATTTCACCCCATTACGGAATAATGAATATGGTTGTGAGTCGTGCTAAATGTGACACGGCTGTATCCTGTACGCTTTGTATTAATGTGTTACATAAAAAAAGGAACGGTGCCTTCTATCACTGTGGCTACATGTTATTTTTTACCTTGCTATTTTCCCGCCATTTTATTCTATGTGGGCAGGAACAAGTGCCATGTAGCTGTAACCTAACACTTACCAGGATCACGGAGGCCACAAAGCGTGTCCCATACCCGAGGGAACGGCCGCCGAAGCTGCTTTTCATCAGCATTTCTTTCGGGCTGAAAGGGCAATGTTAGGTAGACAATATCTTAGCCCCCTCATCCAGTTCAAAACTATGCACACGCACTGACTCTTCGTAGAAAAAAAAGACAAGTCCGCCTGCCCACAGCAACTGTAGGCGCTGCGCACGCGTTGTACGAAAAGCATCTGAGCATGCACCGTGAGCCAGTCGGCCCCATCGTCGTGGCATGACGTCAATATGATTACCGTATTATACGAAATGCGGGCTATAGATGCTCTGCACAGGCTGCGCAAGGGCGCCGCCATAACGGACCTTCAGTTTTACTGCAATAGCAGTTAGCGGGACACTTCGCGGGTTTCGCACCGTCGACTGCGCTCCATATCGACGTGGGTCATTTTCGGCACTCCGCCAAAAGATTCCAGATGACGTCACGGCGCTCGGCACGACTCTGACGTCACGCCACGCATCATGTCACCTGTTACCTGGCATGAGCTGACACTATGACACGACGTCAAGTCACGTTGCACAGTGGCTCAGGTGACACCATGGGTAAAGTAAGTGCCAATTGAAAACGAGCGTGTTGGTTAATAGATACAAAACTTGAAAGTATAAAACAGAGAGGACGAGGACGAGAACAGGACATCTTTCATTTAGCAACAACATAGAATCTATGTTGTTGCTAAATGAAAGATGTCCTGTTCTCGTCCTCGTCCTCTCTGTTTTATACTTTCAAGTTTTGTAAAGTAAGTGATGTCATGACGTCACATGACAATACTTCATCACGTGACACCATGAAGGCACGTAGAAACATAAACATGAGACTGCTGATAATGCAAACAATAAAAACAAACATTTTCACTAATTATGCCAGAAAGGTTCTCGGGCGATGAAACCAATAAAGCTATTCTCTATTTCACCTTATGATGTACCGCAGGAAAAGCTACAAGCCCGAGATCCTTCTTTAGGGCACATCTCGGCAGCACAAGCTGCCAACGCTATGAGCTCGCGCTTCTATACCTTCGTTGCGGTACAACATATATAGTGAAACGCCGGCGAAACCACAGGCGTGAAATTATAGGATGGGCTACACGCTTGAAACCTGAGTGCGCCATTTTGGAAGTGTTCTTTAGTGACCACAAGGCGGTGTTAGTTAGTGTCCATTAACATTGCGTAAGACGTTTAGGCAGCCACACCAGCAATGGGGAACGGCTCATTCATTCTTATGCAGTTTCGTCGTTCCCTGGATTTCAAACTTGGGCTCGCGATTTTCGAAGTGTTCTTCAATTACCACGAGGCAGTCCTGGTTTGTGTCCAATAAAACTGTTTAACAGGTTCACGAAATGCTTTCTACTTAATACCCCCTCATTGGTTCCAAAACACCCTGAAATTTTCGCCCGGTGTGTTACTCGGTTTCATACGAAACGGCCTTTGCGGACTGTATGGTGCGTGCTCGCACATTTTCTGTTCTTTCAGTTCATCCGTCCCGAAATGACACCTTAGCGCCGTCACACCTCAGTTGTCGCAGTGCTTTACTTTACGGGTAGCGAAAGTGCCCTGACTTTTTTGTTTCCTCTTATTCTGTTTATTTTACTTCATCATCATTACTACAGCAGGACAGGTTAATTATTACCATTTTAGATTCTACTTTGTCCTTCTCTCCAGAATTGGCCTCTTGTGGAGGCTTGTGAACGCCCGTTTCAATGGCTCGGTGTCTCGGCAAGACAAGAGGAGGTCAGCCATAGAAGCTGTCATCTTGCGCGTGTGTAAAGCGTCTATAATTGACAATCCAAAGGTGCGAACTGTACGAGGATTTCTTTTCCAGAATCCCTCGTGATCGGTGCCGTTGCCGCCCGGTGCGACTGTCGAGATACCGCGCTGTCCCACGGTATAAATCAAAGCCTCCTATAAGCCCTAAACATAAATCAGCAAAAAAGAAAAAAAAAAGCCTGCAACAGTTATTAGACAGGTTAAGAAACGCAGGGCGTGGCCTAATATGATCACCCTTCTTGCATTGTGATTGATTCCTCGGGCCGTCAGCAGATAATATCTTATCAGCTGACGCTGCAATCTGATTGGCTGCGGACCGATAATGAGATGCTCGGGAATCGCCACGCCCTGCGTTTCCTAAGCCGTCATGGACTATACGGAGAGCAAGTGTTCCAAAATGCGCCTTTGGCGCATCGGAACGCAAGGAGGGGCACGCCTTCTCCGAGACGGTCCGAAATTCCCCATGGCGTTTACTTCAAAGGCCGACGACCAGTTCGCGCTTTCCACTTCTCCCTCGCTTCCTCCTCCCCCCCCCCCCCCTTCTACCCTGTCCACCGTTGCCTGTTTCCTCCTCCCCTATGGCGAAAAGGATATTCTGCCTTGCGGAACCTCAAGTCTGGCCGTCGGCTCGCCTTCGTCCACGTCTCCGGTCTCCGCTGAAGATAAGCACCCCGGAGCGGAATATGGAGAGAACAGCCAGCAGGCGCCACAAAGGGGAGCTGCTTTTTCTAAAGCGCTTGATAGCTTACTCGCCCGTGGTTGGAAGTTAACAGAAAAATATATATAAAAGGCATGAACGGCTCTAAAGGCTGGACACTCGTTACACTGGGTTTTCAAGCGGACGTCGTAGGCAATTATTTGCATACAAAGCTGCTTCAGCATGAGGTGGCAGAAGAAATTTTAGGGAACGTGTTACAATCTCTATCTGGCTGCTAGCGCTACCAGATTTCATAGCGGTAGTCGTCGGTTACCTCGATTGCCATCACGAGACATTAAAACACTTCTTCTTCAGTTCCTGAAGCGAAAGGAACGACGGCGTCATGTTTCTGCTTAGCCGGCCACGTCCTGCCGGCCGTGCGGTCTATTCCCGCTTGTAACAATTGGCGACGAGGATGGGATTACACAAGAGCTCCAGCGCCTACAAAGAGAGGGTGTCATTGTACCAGTAAAGACTTCAAGCTGGGCTGCGCCCATTGTTCCTGTGGCCAAAAAGGATGGCCGTGTGAGGATTTGCGGTGACTTCAAAGTTACCGTAAATCCAGTGGCAACATTGGAGAAATACCCCATTCCAAGGATCGAAGACCTGTGGGCCACGCTTTCCGGGGGCGAGAAGTTCACAAAGTTAGATTTGAGAGATGCCTACCAGCAAGTAGTTCTCGAGCAAGACTCCAGGAAGTATGTGACCATTTCGACACACATGGGTTTGTTTCAGTACACCCGTCTTTCATTCGGGGTTTCGTCGGCTCCAGCTATTTTCCAGCGGGAGATGGAGAACTTGTTCCGAGGACTGCCACACGTTGCTGTGTACTTTGATGACATTCCTGTCACTGGCACGTCCGACTCAGATCACCTTCACAATCTTCGTTCTGTTCTCGTTCGCCTTCGGGACGTTGGACTCAGGCCGAGATCCGACAAGTGCCTCTTCTTCTTGCCTCAGGTAGAATACCTTGGGCATATCATCAGCAAGGAAGGACTGTCGCCAGGTCTCGGCAAGGTGGCAGCTGTCCTACATGCCCCGGCACCACGAAATGTCAAGGAACTTCAAAGTTTTTTAGGTTTAATCAACTTCTTCCGACGATTCCTTCCTAACCTGTCTGGACGTCTTCGTCCACTGCACTTGCTTCTCACTGACGGGAAGAAGTGAAAGTGGGGAAAAGACCAAGAGGAAGCTTTCACGTCAAGCAAGCACCTCTTGACCTCAGCTCCGGTTCTCGCTCATTTCAACCCAGAGAAGCCTGTGTGTCTCAGTTCCGATGCCTCACCGTACGGGATTGGCGCCGTCTTGGCACACCGGGAAGCCGATGGTCAAGAACGACCCATCGCCTTCGCATCCAGAAGCTTGTCTCGAGCCGAACAAAACTACAGCCAGCTCGACAAAGAGGCATTAGCTTTGGTGTACGGTGTTGAGCAGTTCCACCAGTACCTGTGGGGAAACCCGTTCCAAGCCTTCACAGACGACAAGCCTCTACTTGGATTGCTGAGTCCTGACAAGCCGATTCCAGTCCACGCTTCGCCTCGACTCATTAGGTGGGCTCTCAAGCTTTCTGCTTACAAGTACCAGCTTCTCTACAAACCGGGGAAAGACTTGGGACACGCGGACGCACTCAGTAGACTGTCAGTGACGACAAACAGTGTTTCAGAACCTGTGCCAGCTGAAATCTTTATGCTCGAAGAGGCTTACCCCAGTCTTCTGTCACCTGCTGTAGTGGCTCAAGCAACGAAGAATGACCCGTTTCTGGGTAACGTGATGCTTGCTGTCCTGAGAGGAGAGGGCATTACATTGGGACCAGAAGGGAACCCATTCAGCGCAAGGAGTACTGAGCTAAGCCTTCATGACGGATGTTTGCTCTGGGGAGCACGAGTGGTAGTCCCACAAGTGTTGCAAGATCGAGTCCTGAAGCTTCTTCATGCAGGCCATCCCGGCATTGAGAAAAGCAAAATGGTCGCCAGAAGCCACGTCTGGTGGCCGGGTATTGACAATGATATTGCCAAAAACGTGAAGAGCTGCACAGTTTGCCAAGCTCATCAACGGGCTCCACAGCCGGTTCAGCAGACACCCTGGCCTTTTCCACAAAATCCCTGGTCAAGGCTTCACATTGACTTTGGAGGCCCATTCATGGGGCGAACCTTCCTAGTCATTGTGGATGCATTCTCAAAGTGGGTAGAAGTTTTCCCCGTGCCATCCACCTCGGCAGAAGCAACTATCACAGCTTTGCGAGTAGCATTTGCCCAGCATGGACTGCCAGATCTGATAGTATCAGATAATGGTCCTGCCTTCGCAAGTGAACAATACTTGGAATTCTTGACACGCAACGGTATACGCCGCATGCTTGTACCACCCTATCATCCAGCTTCAAATGGTGCAGCGGAGCGTGTTGTTCAAACTGTCAAGAACAAACTTAAGAGTGCATCTGGGTGTTTCCAGACTCAGATATCTAGACTTCTGTTCCACTACAGGACCACTCCGCATGAGGTCACCGGCAGAGCGCCGTGCGAGCTACTGACTGGGAGACGTTTTAAAACACCGTTAGATGTCCTCCGGCCAAGCCT